GGGGCAACGGCATACCGGGATACCGGGCTACCGGTGCCGGGGTCCGGTAGGGGGCTACCGAGGGCCAACGTACGTAATAATCTGAGAAAAATTATTCTTTTCCAAGGTTTTAAACTTGCACAGCCACAGAGACTGCAATTATATAGCTGTGTATATATATTTATGGGACGTGCGGTCATCCTCACAAGACAAAACATACGATGACATATTATTATTTGTCCGCCGATCTTTATGTATGACTAATTGCGATCATTTTAATTGTCAAAATCGCTTAAATTGCACATACGAGAACATATTTGACTTGTTCGAAACGTCAGCAAATGTTGTTGAACCATGACTGCTAGATTGCTGCCTTTACCGCTTCGATACATACGTCACGATTCTTACTTAAATTCCCGGATGTGTGACGTCATTTCCCATGGACAAAGTTGTGGTAGGACATGTCACGTTAGGTGACCGGTGTGGGTTTTGTAACTGTAAACTAACCGGTCTCCTGCAAAATGTTGGCTTGCAAGCGTATCTGTTCCAGCACCACGATATCTGCTTTCCGTGCTCTTCGCGGTAGTCAAGTAAGTAACTTTTACAGGTCTTATACTGCAGTTCGGAGTATGTCTTTAGCCTAATGCTAATTGTATATCGCTCAAGTCCAAAGCTAACAGTCTCTTCCCGTATGGGCCTCCTTCTCCTCAGGTAGTGCTTTTTGGCCAGGTGCAGAGATGTCTGTCCACCCAAACAGATGGAGAGGTCCGCATCGCTAAGCTTTTGAGGCAGAAGTTCCCGTTAGCTTCGTCGCTCAAAGTTGTGGATATATCAGGTAAACATATCTCTGTAAAATGAATGCTTTACGTGAGACTTTGACACCATAGTGTACAATCCCAAAATATCTTCAAGGATTAATTTTTCCTTCTGAGAATAAAATTCTCTTGAGAATATTCATGCGATATCGAACCCATGACAAAATTTTGTGTTAGCTGATGCAGCGTTATAGTTTATTTTTTATTTGTTTGTATTGATATTTATAGTTTTATTGATTATTTATTTATTAAGCTGTTTTAGTTATTTAGTTTTAGTTGACTGTTTTTCTCATAAAAAAGTACAGTACAGTAATAAGGACTTACACTATTTTAACCAGGGTAAGAATAAGCTTAAGCAGTTATATTCCTGCTTATAAGATCCTACAATATTTTCTTATTTAATTTTGCTTCCTTGTATTAAAAAGTGCTGTAAAGTATGCATCGATTGTGTGAATATGAACAACTTCGCAACCTTAAGGCAGGGGAGCGGTGTAGAACAAGAGCGTTCCATTGTAATCTTTGTAAATGTGAACAACAGCGATGCTTTTTTTCGTACTGTGTTATTTAGGTGGGTGTGGGGCCATGTATGAGATACATATAGAATCCAGTGAGTTCAAAGGAAAAAGGACTATTCAGCAACACCAGCTGGTAAATCAGGTAAGTCATAAGCCCAGTGTATATTGACTGTGCCAACATTAAGATACAGACTTATTGAAAATTCTGCGTTTGATCATATGATTTTTAAATTTGACTTGATTACAGTTGTACAAATAACATTAAAATTTTGTCTATAAAAAGTTGTTTTTAGGGAATGGTAGGATTGTAGTAGGATATAATAATGTGCAATAGAAAATGGATTCTGGAAGGATTATCAATAAAGCTGCACTTGTGTTTTGCTGTTGTTTATGATCAGTCTGTGAATCATAGTTTTGGCCAAAAAAATCATTTAACATAAGTTTCTACTTGTCCAGCTAGAATGTATTTCACTTGGTTTTTATGGTTTGTCGTTCACAGGCACTCAAAGATGAGATTCAAGAAATGCATGGCCTGCGAATATTCACTGATGTCCCAAAACAGTAGATGTTGTCCCCAGTCTGGACCCAGAATCTTTTCCTTTTGTTCACATATGAAAAAGTACGAATGTACAGAAATGCAGCAGAATGTGTGAAAGGTGAAGTACAAGTCAGATTACACTAAGTTATATACATATATATATATGTGTTTTTTTCCTTAAATCCGAAGAAATGTTCTCTGATATAAAACCAGTGAAGGCTGTTATACGCACAAAACGACTTGGGGAAATGTTAACTCAACATTACGCTGTTGGGATTCTTCTAAGTCCAGGCTTTCCTCAGGGTTGATAGTGATGCAAAGTGGGTCCAGAAAGCATTGGATGCAGTCATTATGAATAGTCTTTTATCTGAAGACCCTTCCTTTAAACCCACGAACAGTAGCTTGCATTTTTTCTGATAATATGACTACAACGAGTGTGTTAATGTTCAATGATACTGCTATTTTCTACTTGCTTTCCATGAAGAAACTGAATGCGAACCTTGTGTTTATGCAACTGCATTAGTTGATTAACTGCAAAGCGTTTAGCAAAATGTCTGATGTTGGATAAATACCAAAACGTCTTTCAGAAGGCTTTCATGTGGTTTGTCAAATGAACAAAATACAAATATGGATAAATTACAAATCTATAAAACGGTCAAGCGAAAAGTTCCGTGTTTAAGGTCACGAAATGATTTCAAAGTTGTATTTCAAAACCAAAATGGTTAAAGATGATTAAAGACCTACAGAAAAAAATGGCTTTTTGTCCTCATTTTCATTATGTGGCTTAAATAAACATAAACTTGAGCAAACTGCTCTTCCCAGTTTAAGAACCAGCCTCACCCATTACAGCATTTTCAAGGTTTGTACTGAGTCATCAGCCGCAGTGTCTGCTACATTTTCACAAAGGCTACTGATGAAAACAGATACCGTATAGGACAGCGTTCATGCACACACTCTTTAAGGAATTTAACACAGGTCTCATTTCAGGTACTATATATGCTCAAACACAAGCGTAACCAACGGTGTTTGACATTAAATGAACCTGAGACACATCAGGCTTTTTTGTGTGCAGGCATGTGTGTATACATATATATATATATATATATATATTACAGGTTTATAGGTAAATTGGCCGACATTTATTAAAAAGGAGATAAAAAATGGTCTCTGACAAACTCAGACACCGCGACTTGCTGTATCCATGGCAACCTCTACTCCCTTTCACCATTTGTTTTCATGCTTCGTGGTTGTAGTTAAGACATGTTCAAACTCGTACATTCCGTAGACAGTAGATTTGAGAAAGCTTAAATTCATACACACATCTTAAGAGAAAGACAGGATTGTACTCCTTAATTTTAAATGCTCGGCCAGTGTTCGCACTGTTGGACTTTTACTCAACGCCCCTCAAAGTTTAGCATTTTTTTTCCACCAGCAGGTGGTGCTATTTATTTATACGTCGGACTTGCAAGAGTGGAAAGTAAAAAACCGTTTGAATTTCTTTAATTTTTTTTTTGGTTTAATGTTCAAATATCAAACTACCTTTAGGGTATAATTCCTCTGACCTGTACGTAAACCTCGTATTTCCGACTTCCAGGCGGAGGATTTGCCATGACGGAGAAAGGCGGCTGACGGTGAGAGCCCAGGCTCCTTTGTGGATAACGCGGCGCCTGTCTGCGTGCGAGGCGAGCTCCACGCCACATCTCAACCCCCGACAAGGAGCGGAGAGCTGCTTCTCGCGTCTGACATGGCGAAAGAAGGCGCGGATATGACAGAGGAGACCGAGTACATGATTGACAAAAATGCCAAGAAGGAGGCGGGGAGCGTGGAATTTGCCGGGAGCACGAAAGAAATGAGAGCGGTGATGCTGGCAGGTTTTGGAGGTCTGAACAAACTCCGGGTGGCCAAGAAGCCAATGCCCGAGCCTCTGGATGGGGAAGTAAAGATCCGCGTCAAAGCATGGTAAGTACCACAGTGTGTTTTTGTGCACTCATAGTCTTCCCCGGGATGTGGTGGTTTCCTAAGAGTGAAAGCTGAACTGCACCTTGAAGGGAAATTCATGAAGCCACAGGTCCTTTCTACCCAGTGGAAGCGGTTGTCTGGCTGACAACAAACAAAACTGATGTCAGCATTTTTTTGGTTCAGCCACATCTTTTTAATTTTTAAGCAGAAATCCCTCTTTTATTAGCCATCACTTTGCAAGATTGTATTAAGTTCATTTCAGGTTGCAGCTGGGCCACTGCCAGCCTTGGCAAAGACATTGGTCAAATTAAACTGCACTCCATTTTATTAGGGCCAGAGTATTGGTGGAATCTGGCCTTGTATTCACAGAGGACTCAGTATTCTGTTGCTATTAATGAAAAGAAAAGCATTGGGTAATCCCAAAATAATGTAATAGCTCCAATTAAATATGCGTTATTAGATAACTGCAGGTGCCCAGGCAGTTCAGCAGAACATTTTCATTCAAACTGAATCTGTGTCAACAAACAATAAGTCTCATATTCTTATGTGTTCCAGCGGCTTGAATTTTCTGGATTTGATGGTTCGTCAGGGGACCATTGATAATCCTCCGAAACCCCCCCTTGTCCCTGGATTTGAGTGCTGTGGAATAGTGGAGTCAGTGGGTGAGAACACAAAAGGATTTGAAGTAAGTGAAATTACAGGTTGCTTATGTGGTGACCTGTGGATAAATGCTATCTGAAACACTGTATTTGCTTCAGTTGACACAGAGATAAGGCAGAAACATGCGAAAAACACATAGAAGAGCACATCACATATCAACATTCATAATCTTCTTGTTGTCCAGTTAACCAAATGTTTTTGTTTCAGATAGGGGACAGAGTTATGGCTTTTGTGAATTATAATGCCTGGGCAGAGGTGGTTTGCACGCCAGTGGATTTTGTCTACAAGATGCCAGATGAAATGACTTTTGCTGAGGCTGCGGCGTTCTCCCTGAACTTTGTGGCTGCCTATATGATGCTCTTTGAAGTTGCAAATCTGCGAGAGGGGATGTCAGTGTTGGTCCACTCGGCAGGAGGTGGTGTTGTAAGTTAATTGATTCTCCAAGTTCAGCCGATGAAACACACACGTGTATATTTTGATGCATATTTATGACGTATATTAGAAAATGCTAGACTGTTGCTTCGAGTGACACATTCACTTGTCATCAGTGCTTTCGGACGTTGATAAATGTTTGTAACTGTTTTCATTTTCAGGGTCAAGCTGTGGCTCAGCTCTGCTCCACTGTACCAAATATAACTGTGTTTGGAATCGCCTCCTGTTTTAAGCACGCCGCTATTAAAGACTCTGTGACTCATCTCTTTGACCGAAACACTGACTACACGCAGGAAGTCAAAAAGTAAGCATGCCACATTTGTCCGTCGTGACAATGACTTGATGTCACAGGATCTGCATTTGATTTCTTTTGATGTATTTGGAGTTTGTTAAGAGGGACCAAAAGGGAAGCCATCATCAGGTAGCTGGGGCTGGTTTCCCATGGTGTGATAACGTGGACACTGCTCAGGGCAGAGGGCTGTGCGGGGATGCAGATGTTACGAGTTGCCTTATTTGGGCTTGTGTGGTCGTCATCCCCATGGCAACTCACGGCTTGTCTCAGAGAGCAGCAGCATCGTGTAGGGTGGTGGTCTGCTTGTGGAACAACTGAACCAATTAGGGCTGAGCAGTGATACCCTAAATGTTCTGATGGCTACATACATGCTGCCAGCTGTGTTACACTACAAAGAACCACTGATGTATGCCTCAGGTTTAATTAATTTGTAGTACAGTTACATTATCATCTGTTTATACACACATATATGTGTGTGTATACACATACATATATGTATTCATTTATAGTGTGTGAGTGTGTTTTAAGGCCTCTGGTTGTCACATTCAAAAGCATCATTAGCATTTGATGTCCTATGCTTTTTGCCTCCATGTCACTGGTGGTTGTGGTTTATGCTTTTCATGTCTCTGGCTCAAACATTCTTCCCAGGATCAAGTGCAAAGTTCAGTCAAATTAGCCTTTTTACAAAAGGCAAAAACCATGGGAATCACAAGACCACCAAGCAGTTCAGCCAAGCAGGTGCTCTGAGCCGCAAGGCAGGAGTGAGGAATTGTGGTCAGAACATGCCTTACATTCTTTCATGTCTGTTCCTGTAACAAGTCTCATAATGACAAAAAGAAAAAAAAGTTTTTATCTCTCCGCTTCATATTGCTTTGTTTTGTATCGCCGTGCAAGTTGCTGTGGGCACAGTAAAACATCAATAAGCTTTGTATAAGAAATCTGTAGGAGGAAATATGTGGGCTGTGTACAACAAGTTTTCCTGACAGCAATACCCCAGAGAGCGAATGCTCATAGCTTGTAAATCTGTGATTAGAAAGAGCATGTTGCTGCTCCTCGGGATGAATCACAGACTGAAAACAGGGACAAAGAGTATCAGACAGTTATAGCACTGCAAGACATTGTGTCTTCAAATCATATTTCAGTTTAAAATTTTTATAAAACTAGCCATGAAAGTGTCACTAATATGGGGAAAAAATACTGGTTACCGTTTACTTCTATAGTCCAAGTCACGTCATATGATCTGTTACTTTTGTAGTCAAAACTCAAAAAAACAATCAAAGAAATAAAAAGATAATTTCTGCTTAAATTTTACAACTGTCAAAATGAACAAATCTCTTAAACTCTCATAGTTTTGACTGATATGTTTTTCATAACTCCTGTATGTTTTATTACCGCCAGCAGTCACATTGTGCATCAATATGGGACTTTTTTATTTGTCACAGTTTAGCTTTTTATTGTTTGTTTTTTTACAGCTTTTGCCCAAATTTGTGCAATTAGTTTCAGACTAAACAAACAAAGATATATTTTTTTACTTTTGGCTTTTCAAACAACCAGTTTACAGAAATCTGTTGAAACTGACTGCTAGGCTGACGCACATTAGGAGCTTACCGTTTAGCCACCGAGGAGCACTGCAATTAGCAAAAAACGTGCTTTGCCATCAGTCCTGCCAGCCACACCTTTAATATGATCAGATTAAGTTGTCATGGAGACCTCCTTAACAACTAGATGCTCTCATTGCTGCTTGCAGCTGGCTTACAGTAGACGTCACTTCCCTCCTCTTCACAGGATCTCTCCAGATGGCGTTGACATTGTGCTGGACTGCCTGTGTGGAGAGAACACAGGGAAAGGCCTCAGTCTGCTCAAGCCACTTGGAACTTATATCCTCTATGGTAAGGGCAGTACTTGAGTCTCTTAATCGTACAGTGGTAACATTTGCCTTCCTCTTTGATGCCCTTAATAATAAAAAAAAAAACATACACTTAAATAACTTACTGTTTTTCCCCCCAACCTTATTATTGATATTGGGTTAAAAAAGCAATTCAGACAGTTGAAAATACACTGAGATGCTTTCTTGCACTTGATTAAGTTACTGTGTCCCTGGTGCACCTTGGTTTTTAGTACAAAAGCTTAAATCTAAGTCAGTGTTCCACAGTGTTTGACAATTTCAAAAGGAAGTGTTATGACTATATTCTCCATGTGAGAGCATGGACGGGTGGCAAAGGGCAGTTGGGGAACAAGCAGCCATCCCTCACAGCTACCACTCTTATCTTGTTTCTATTAATTACTTCAGTTCCAGTCAAGCCTTTTGCATTAAGCAGGAGCATTAGCAGGAGATTAATTAATTAGTTGTAGTTTTACCTAATATGTGCAAGAGCATGCTTGCACAGGTCTAAGGGTCAAACCAGTCCTCCCCCACCTCAACCTTCCTGCATCATAGCTGTCTGTTATTGACCAGCCACTTCTGTTCAGCATTCAGCAATCCTTTTATTTCTGATTTTCCAGGCGCGTCAAACATGGTAACTGGGGAAACAAAGAGTTTCTTCAGCTTTGCAAAATCTGTGAGTCTCTTATCAACATTCAAAAGAAACCCTATCCTCAAACCGCTCAATTAAATGCGTGAAGCACTTGTGGAAATTTTGCCAGTCTTTGTTCACGTGCTTGTTTTTACTCTCCAGTGGTGGCAGGTGGAGAAGGTGAATCCCATTAAACTTTACGAGGAAAACAAAGTCATTGCCGGCTTCTCACTCCCCAACCTCCTTTTCAAACAAGGGAGGTCTGGTCTCGTGAGGTCAGTGATGGACAAACTTTTGTGCCTCTTTGAACAGAAGAAAATCAAGCCTGTAGTCGACTCCTTGTGGGCGCTGGAGGAGGTAAGAGCCTGTTGTGACCGGAGGGTGAAAGATGTTGCAAACAAATTCTGGAGAAGTCCGAACTTCTCTTGTGGTATATGTATAGAGAACAACTTCCTTGTTTGATGCATCTCAACCTCTCAACAGGGTTTGAATTGTTTGCGTGATGACATTTTTGCCTGCTTTTCTGTATTTTATTTAAACTTCTTTACATTTGGAATTCAAAGCACTTACAGCCTTGTTATCATACAAACTGAGGGTGATACCAATTTGTTTGAAACAATTCAAACCATCCCCCCGATTGCCCATTCATTATTATTTAATGCTTTGTTTTTCCTGCTTCATACTTGTCCTTTAAAATACTTCTTGTTGGGTGTTGTATGATGACCATGATAAGGTCCATAAGCTGTAAACGACTGAGCTGTTTTCTGTGATATGCTGTCAGCTGGTTATGGAACCACAGATGGTAGGTAGGTTGCATCTTCATGTGCAATTATTATTACACGTTAATAATAATATTAGAAGCTAATAATAATAATAGAAGGCTAACAGCTTGTTGCCTCACCCTTCCTAGAGATACTTTAGCTCTTCATTCATTTGGAATATTGTATTTTTTTTAATTGCACAATACATTTATCCTTATTTTTAACATACATACTGATGTCCATTTTCCTTTTTTAACCATAAGTTGACGTACCAAGAAGAATAGATAAGTTTTAAATAGTTTGTTGTAAGCCTTTCCTGTTAGTGGCTACAGCTCGCGGCCCTGACTCGCATAGTAGGTTTGGCAGGAGTTTTTACAACAGATGCCCTTCCTGACGCAACCCTCGCATCTATCTGGGCTTGGGACCGGCACAAACAGGGCACAGAACAGCGCGCTCCATTTGAGGCTGCACTGTGGGCACTGAGGGTTCATTGTGTTGCCCAAAAGACACCTCAACATGCCCCTGAGCCACAGCCGACCCCCAAGTTTTCAAAGGTTTGCGAAACCTCAATAGAATACATTTAAGGAGTTTGACTCTTGATGGTACCTGCTGCATGGATCCATTCTTGACTCTCAGTAGATGGAGAGACTACCATTAATACCTGAGAGAGATTAGTCACCGCACCAGTAGACCTGTGTAGATACAGTTTTCTTTTGATAAATCTGTTGTGTTAAAATCAACAGTTGTCAGACTAACATGCAATGTATGCTGCCTCACTTCTAGGAATACACATCACATCAGCTACAGAACAGCAATAACCTCCACTCATGATGGAAACCTTCAGAGATTTGGGAGCATGATAAAAACTTAGTCAGCATCACACATGGCCATAATGTTAAGGTTGTAGTTCGATGCTTCAAACCATAATACCTCTTCAAGCTTCACAATTTATTAAATGTGAAGCTGTAACATGTTTTCCACTTTCAAAAAACCCGTAAATACCTGCAAAAGTGTAGGAGGGCTGATGGGATTGCAGCTATAATTGTTGAATTGTTGTAGTTGTAAATTAAAAATGTACACTCATATAGGACCTCTGTCACATATTAGATATGTTTTATTGCCTACATACGTAACCTTTAAGAAATGTCTCTTTTATCAGACAGCAGAGGTTTATTGCACTTGCATGAAAAGAGACATTTTTTAAATTTTTGTTGGTTCAATTCTGGCCGACTTAACGCTTTACTGGTCAGGAAAATCTGCGTGGACGTAAATGGACTTTATCATGCTGCTTCAATATATTTTTAAAAAATAGATAAGATTGCATAAAAAGATATCTAATTGTACATTTATCCTCAGCTTTTACCGAAGGTGCTATAGAAATTAAGATATAATCCAAGATCACATTTATTAGCTCTCAAAAACTTCCTTGTAAGTCATTCAAAACTCTGCATCAACTGTAAAAGAGGGTGGAAAAAGAGTTGTGGATGAAATAATTGCTCTGCTTAGATTTTTATTTCTCATGGGAAACTTCCCATATTCTGTTGTCATTAAACTTTGGCAGGTTGTTCAGGCCATTCACTGCAACCACTGCCCATGAAGAATCTCATTAGTGTGGAGGATGGCGTGGGACGCGCAGCTCCGGGCGCAGCCGCACCTCACTCGTTAATATGCCTGGTAGCAGAGTTAATTGGGCTTCCGTTGACACGTTTATCATAACAACATTTCTTTCCGGACTGAAACACAGGAGGATATGCATTTGGCAGAAACAAAAAGTGGGTCATTTTCAGGCGTTTTACAGACTATATTATCACTTTGTTTCTCTGTTGTTTTTAGTTGTGAAGTGAAAGCTGTAAATGTTACGGAAAGAGAGAAGTGAACCAACATGAAATATCTCACACTGATTAGTTATCATTGTACGCAAACATCAAAGAACTCAAATGTTTGCGCAGCTTATCCCCTCTTCTCTAAACAGTTGCTACCTGGCAGTCAAGTGATGGACCAGTTTCTGACCTGTTGTTCCCTCCTGGCTTGTTTTTCTGCTATTCCCTCTTAGAAACTGAATGCTATTAAAACATTGTTTCAGACAAAGAGGTACACATGCATTTACTTCTGTGTAGACTGTAATGTGAAAAAGATTATCAGTATTTAAGAGATTCTGACATGTTAAAGTCACCATATTCACTGTACTTGTCTAACTTTCTACAGTCTAACCTTAACAACCATTTATCTTATTGTCACATCCTCAACCAAAAAAGCTACAATTTGTAGCAGTGAATAATTTATTTGAAGGTTAACCTTTATTTCATCTAAAAAAACTGTAAATAATACAACAATTTACAGTTAAGTATTAACTTTGTTACATAATTACCAGTCATGTTGGGAAAGTATTCAGTCTTCTGTTCCATGAAATGGAAAAAGATATATGTAAACCTCCAAGAAATACCTCTCTGTGTAATTCAGAGCAAAAAGCATGAGCAGGAGTTGTACGTGGTTTTAAATGCTCAGGTTGGTGTGCAGCACTCACCTCCTGCTATTGCAGCTTGATTAGATATTCATTATTCTCATGCAAATGCAAACCTTTTCTGACCCTGCCTCGTGATCAGTGAGGTGTTGCAGTATCGTTCATAGCACACTGATGGTTGAAAGAAAATGATTACAGCCAACATGTTTCCACCACCCTGTTCGTAGAAATCAGCCACTGTTTACTCTTATTGACTTGAGAGTTTTTGGCAAGGTCACAGGGGCTGAAAAGATTCTGAAAGTGTGGTAGTTATGTTGTACTGTCAGTAGCACTGGGCTATATCTGTGGTGCGTTTGAGAACATAGGATGTGATGTGGAGAGGAATTTATAGAAATATGCTGATAGCAGAAACCTGAAATTCCTTTTCCCGCATATACTGTTAAACGTTCTTATCTTTCTATTGTTGAAATATTTATTTGCTCTATTCTGCCCCAGACCCAAACGCATAATCCCTGCTTCATGATTTGTTGGCACTTTTCAAAGTTTTATCTTTGTTGCTATTTTTGTTTAAATGGGATAATTTGATTTTTATGTGATATTACATTTGGGTTAGCTTGAAATCAGGTCATTTTTTTCTTGTATACAACATCCATTCCATCCTTTCCATTTTGCTTCTTTTTGTGAAGTTGACATTGAGTCTCAGATTAAATTCAGTTTAAAAGGAGGAAAGTTATCCATACAGTACTTACTGTAAATGTAATGTAATGTGATGTAATGTAACTAGAAATAGGCTGATGCAAGCCTTTTCAGAAAGTGAATATTAGATCTACAAGACCTGACTCTTTTCAAAACTATGAGGGTAAAGTATCCTTAATAAAGTTGTTTTGAATGAATAGAAGGCAAGTTAGAGGTAAGAATAAGAGAATGTTGATTTAAAGAGTGAAATCAATTGGAAAATATTGGCCCACTATCTGTTGGGATTCGATTGAATAATGAGCACTGCTTAACTTCACATTGCCCATTGGCACAACTGAAAAACTCATGAAACAAAATAGGGTAAACATATTTATAGATGCAATCCAAAGAAGTCAATGTTTTAGAGGTTCTTACTCTTGCTTGTTGTTTTGAGTGAAACCAGGTATAAAAAAGAGTTAGAACGTTTTTTAGTTTTTAATTACAAAAAATGTTTATGTTTTACTTTCAGGTAAAAGAAGCCATGCAGAGAATTCATGACAGAGGCAACATAGGAAAACTCATTCTGGATGTGGAGAAGTCTCCAACCCCACTGGTAAAAACTGCTTTTCATGCTATTTGTCAGAGCTAAAAGATATAAAGAAACCACATCACAAAGATTGACAGACAGTTCGCAATATGGATTGCTTTTAAAAATGTTAATCTTTTCCCATTTTAGCTTTAGCGCTTGCTTGTCTTGATTGAATTTTATTTCACTTCGCTCAGTTAATTGGCCCTGTGCCATCATGTAATATCGAGGATTATAAAGTAACTAAATTCAGCCCAGGCAGAACACAAACTCTTTGTGTTTCCATTATCAAACTGAGCGCTTAGTAAAGAAAGCATTTCGTTCCTTGTGTGCGAAAAAGAAAAGGAGTTTTTGTTAAGAGTTTTTGTTGAAACAAGAGTTTATTGTTTCAAATGGACACTAGATTAAATAAATAATGTTCCGAGATTATTTTTACTCTGAAGTAAATAATAATAAATAAACCCATTTCTATGAAGGTGAAAAAAAAGGAATCAAAATGTCCTGGAAGAGTAATTTCAGTTGTCATATTAGCATCTGATGTTCAGATTAGGTCAAGTCTTTGTGAGAGGCTGTTGGGCTTCCTCGTCTGTTTCAGCAGAGGTTTTCATGTTGATCTCTGCATCTTAGTCAGGAAACAGATGCTCGACATGCAAATGTATATCTGACACCACAACTGGCCATACTGCAGGAGCACAAACATTTACATATTCACGGTCCCACTTGATGCCAACTCATGTTTATTTTTCTCTCTGCTCGGGCAGCTCAGAAAAAGGTAAATGCTAAAAATGATTTTACCACTAGATGGCCAACGACAGCACAGAGACCAGTGAAGCAGGAGAGGAAGAAGAGGAGCCAGAGGGGGATAATGACAGCAAGGAGCGAATGCCTTTCATCCATTAGAGTCCACAAACACCACCGTGGGATACCTAGAGACTGCACAGATTCACCACAGAGGAACACAACCACACACAAGTGTGTATGTCTGCATGTGCTGTGTACATGTATGCATGAATGTGTGTATGTAAAATAAGTGTCTGTCTGTCTGTTATCTATTAACTGTCAGTTTATTGATCAAGCAAAGGGGAAATGGAGAATAGCAACCGGATTACAGCCAGGAAACAAGTGCGTAAGCCATTCTGAAGCCATTGTTGTGTTGCTGAACTATGCTGTAATACAAAAAGGCCCATGCACAGTTTATAATTTGTAGCATTTGCCAACAGAATACTGAACTAAAAACAAGATAAATAAGCTTCTGTTCTTGCTGAGATACAGTCATCACCTCATGTTAAGCACTCCAATACATTCATGTATGTAGGGAAACACACGAGTCATATATGCTGATGGTAAAGTTCCATTTTCTTCTGTCCTCTGTGTGGATAAATATAAAAAGACCAAACTACTTAAATACAGTTGAGAAAATTTTACTTGGAGCTTAATACTGGACCACTGGACTAAATCACTTTTATATTATAATGATTGCTGTATGTCGATATTTGCATGGAATTTTAGTTTTACCTGTCAACCTTGAGAGATTGTAGTATCACCAGTGCCTTTGAGCCGCAGTGTGTTTAATCATTGAAAAACTGTCAGTATATACAATTTACCATGGCATGATAGCTCTGTTTGCTGGATCGCTACTTCAGTCATTCTGTCAGGGAAGTATCAAACAAAGTATTGCATCCACTCATTGCACATTTGACAGTATTTAAATTTTTACCTTTTTAAGTCAAATATCAGAATATAAATAGATACAACGTAAAGTGTGATAGTAACAACTGCAGTCTGATTGACCAAATTGATTGACCAAACATCTTGGTGCCTCACAAACAAAAGTGCCATACGACAAGGTATCTGCCCATTGTTTTATGTAATATAAATAAATAGAAATATGCCTCTCCACGCATACTTTTAGTTTTCAGTATTTGCTCCGACTTGCACAATATATATGTTACATATTGACAAACTCTTTATGTCATTCATAATTTTACACAAACGAGTGTAGGAAACAGTATTTTTCAAACAATGTTGAAGCCAGTGTTTTACACCCTATAAATGTAAAACTTTCATTGTACAAATTCCCTAATAACCCAGCTATCCGGCTTTTACAGCAAACACTACAACTTGGGAGACAGCGTTTCTGGTCAATTGATAAGCAGATTTGTAGTTCTTCAGAAATGCCTCAAAGTTTAGAAGCTTTTAATGTTAGGTCTGTTTTCGCGTGTTTGTGTGAGAGTGTGTGTTTTTCATTGTGCGTAGTCATCCTATAAAAGAAAAAGCAAAACGTGTGGTTCAGCATTGTAATGTATTCACAAAATTCCTCTCAAGCTGGTTTACCTGTGGTTGCATATTTTTGTCACATTTTTTGTTGTGTACTTTCTTTGAAAAAAGCTCTGTTTACTTGAATAAATCTATCTGCAAAGTATGTCTTCACTGTGTTGTTGTTTTTATAGAGTAATAACTGGATGATATGCTTTTTGTGCACAGGACATCAACAAAAACAGGAATATTTAGCTATAAAATTGTGGCTCAAAATACCTTTTCTTGATCCTGAAACAAATGCACCAGTGGAGAAGAAAAAAATGACTGGTCTCACATTGTTGACCTGCCATTCTCCACTGATGCTCCCAGGCCTCCTGTCTGGTCAGAACAGGCTCGTGATCTGTCAAATCTTCTTTGTGAATTATTTATGAAAGCTGAACTGACCCTCTGTCAAGTGGTGGTCCGTCTCATCTTTTGTTCAGGTCCTGCATCTGATTCTGCATCACACATCTGCCGTAAAGTAAGAAGAGCAGCGTTCACCGTGTGAGCACAAGAATGTGCAACAACAGATATTAGCATACCACAACTCGGACTGAGCACAACGCACTAAGTCTGCGATACAGACAGGTAAATGGTGAAACAGCACAACATTTAAAAATCATAATATTGGATATCTCTGTAATCATTTTTGCTCGGAAACTAAGCATGCTTAGGACGTCCTCTATGTGATTTTTATCCATGATAAATGAACCCTGTATTATACTTACTGCCTCATTATGAGATGCAGGGTTCATAGTTGGGACATTCACACCTTCAGAGTCTTAAGTATGGAGTTTCATGTTGTACGTAAGTGATTTGAAGCTGAAAAATATGCTTCAACTGGTCTCAGGAGACTTGTAGCTATATATAAATCCATATGCCTAAGGGTTTTGGTTTCTTTCACACCCACCCCTTCACCTCCCGTATGTATACAGCATCTCACTATAAATAACCTTGTCTGAACTGGTGAAATGAGTGTAGAAGCAGTGAGTCTAATGGAAGCCTTCTTTTAAAGATTAAACAGCAATCTGAGAGAGAAAAGTACTTTCAAATTACATTTAATTCACAAGCAATAGTTAAAAATGTCCATGCACTGGTGTGGTTAATTAGACTTTTATGTGTTTACTGCTTTAAACTCTCCCGCTTAGCAGTTAGAAGCTATTGGAATAAGAGCTTGTTCAGTGCAGACACAAAGTGGAACTCAGTGATTTTGGATGCCCAAAACTGGGAAGAGAGGGATGAGATGAAGATAACTGTCAAAGTAGTCAATACGTTTCCAAGCAGTTTGTGAAACGAAAGGGAACACTGCTCGGTGCACCTTGTTCCAGGTAAATATTTATCTAAAAATAAACTAGACACAAGGAAATCTTTATTTGCCTCCACCCTTCTGCCACCCTCACCTCCTCCTGATGTTTGGACAAAAACAAACAGAGTTGGAGCCAATGCAGCGAGAGAACCCAGACAAGCATAAAGAGGGCCAGTATATATGAGCAGCCTGCAGTGTTTTTGGGGGTTGTTTCACAGCAGCACAAGGTGTGCCACAGGGTTCTGGACATGGCTCGTCTGGCGCTCTCTGTCCTCCTCTTTCTCAGCTTCTCCCTGCTCTGCTTCTGTCGACCGTCTCGCACCAGGAAAGCCGTGTCCCCTCGGCCGTCTGGAGGTAGCCTTTAAAATCTCGAACTGTCCTCGACGCTTACACTCTGTCGTGGCATTCATCCGACCTGTTTTTCTTGCCCCCTCGTTGAGGCGCAGCTGGAGCGGAGGATGACGATGTGAGGGCCCAGCTCGAGAGGTTGTGGCAGGAGGTGAACTCGCTGAAAGAGATGCAGGCATTACAGACAGGTAATATCCTCAACTCTAGTGATAAATGAGCATGGAGGTGACAGCAAATGTATGTCTTTAGAACTTCAGTAAGGGCCACTGGGTTTCTGCTTGTTTCTGGCCAAGTTCTGTTGCCAGTAAAACTCTTGCCTATGCTCGTGACTGCAATCTGCACCAACAAACAACTCATTTTTTCATTTTATTAGCCTAATGGTACTTCTGAGTATGTGATTTAAGATAACTGGGTAGAAACATTGCCTGTTTCTTTTCCGTTGTCCTTTGCAGTCGTTTCATAGTCAGTAGAAACACCAGTAGAGGGCGGCAGCAGTCTCTGAAATCATTAAAGTGCAAGGCGATGGGTTGAACTGCACATTAGATGATTATAATACAACTCATTGAAAAGAAACAGTTTAAGGAATTAAAAGTTTTGACAACACAGTTAATTTCACTCCCTAAACAAGCTTTTTGTTATTTTAGTGTGTCTTCGAGGCATTAAGGCTCACAGGAAGTGTTATCTTACAATTGAGGAACCCAAACATTACCATGAGGCAAATGAAGACTGCATTGCTCAGGGAGGAACTCTTGCAACACCACGAGACGTGATGGAAAACAACGAACTGAGAGACTACGCGAAGCGGAGTGCTTCTGGTTCCAGGGACTTCTGGATCGGTGTGGCTGACATAGTGAAAGAAGGCCAGTATGTTGATGTCAACAGCTTGCCAGTCACCTACCTCAACTGGGATCGCTCCAAGAAGCAGCCCACAGGAACAAAGAGGGAGAGCTGTGTTGCTCTCTCAGTAGCAGCACACGGAAAGTGGTATGATGAGGTATGCCGCAGTCTCAAAAAGTACATCTGTGAATATGTCATTCCTTGAAGGTGCTGCTGAAAGGCTGATTGAAACCATTACAATGTGTGATCAACTCATGATGGAAACGTTTTTTTAATAAGATGACAAAAATATATTGTATTAATTGCATTAAGAGCCTTGTGATATCAGTAATTTGTCAATTTCTACAGGTGCTTAATAGCTATGGACAGTTTCATATTTAAGGTAGTTCAAAATTCTAAACTGATGTTTAAACAGAGAGAGAATTTAAAAATTCTACACGAAATAAAGGAAATATTATTAAATTTCAACTTATTTGTGATGTTTTTATTTTGTTCGTGCATGTTTTAGATTTTTTGACCATCTATTTACAGTACCAATCATTCCATTGTTATTGTACCTGACAATGAATCCCTTGTTACGTCTTTACTGCTGACAACTGATAAGGAGTGTTTTTGTTTCTACCTCCTGGGTCTTTACCATGAAACTTGTCCCGAAATGAATCCTGACCAACCTATGCATATAAATATGCATAGATATATGTATAGATATTTTCAATGAATTTATTGTCAGCACATAAAAAAGAAATATTTCTGCACCCGCTCTGAAGTCAATTGATCCCATGAACAAACCAAGTCATGCAATAGGTTCATAACTACATACCAAGTATGCATCAAGTGCCATTAGGGGAATTAATACTCTGTTTTGCAACACCAGGTGTTAAGGGATTAATGGACCATTTTAATAAACTACCATGGCAGCCTGAGTACTACAATGAAATTAGAGGCCTTTATTCTCTATTCTAAACAGGGGACAATCCCACATATGCAAAAACAAACATTTTCCACATATTTGGCTATATTCTCACATATATCAGAGTACAAAAAACTAACCCTGAAAAGCGGATTAACTGATATTTTTTCTATATATGTATTTCCATAACAAAAGTAATTCAGATTCCATTAATTCTTTTGTCTATAAATGTACATATTCGTATAATTCTTCAGCCTACACCTGGCCTTTGTTTGGAATGTGGTATGAAAACCAAAAGGTTAAAAATAAACTCTAGCAAACAGAGAAAGTAAAAGCAAATGTGGTGAAAGGGACAATCTGACTGTTCTAGCTCTGAGAGGACGATATGAAATATAAATATTCTGACTTGTTAAAGCTACTACACAATGGAAATGAATGCATGATATGAGAATATATTCAAGAATATCCATCCATCCATTATTTATACAGACTATTGTTAGAAGGGCTTCAGGACGGGCTCTAGCCAATCTCAGCTGGCATTGGGCAAGAGGCGTGATACATCCTGGACAGGTTAGTCCATTACAGGCCCAAACAAGGATGAAAAAAACACACACACTCATATTTTCGGGGGGCCAGTATTCAATTGACCTAACATGCATGTTTTGGGAAATCCAGTAGTCCAGTTCGACTTCTGAACATGTGGCAAGCAATGAAGAGAAGAATTATCAACCAATTTATATGTCAGCTGGAACACTTCTTTCTGTTAAAAACAGTGGCCGTGAACCTATTCACCTTCTTTTTCTCAATGGCCTGGACACTGGAAACCAATTAGGGAAATTGCTTTGTATTTATGCAGTAATACCACAATTATTTGTTTTGTAATAAATTATAATTGTTACACTGGAAAGAAACAAAAGACAATGTGAATGAAATTCAGATTCATATGCATACATATGTATATGTATTGTGTGTATGTGTGTGCGTTTGCATGGGGCACACAAAAAATTTGTGTTTGCCTTATAGACAGTAGGAACAGCAATAACTAGAACCATTCTACAAAATGAGATCCAAACGCTTGTTATAAAATGCTTTAATCCATAGGGGTTGCTCATTTATGCATCTTTGATTTCAGTTGTAAATGTTCAATTGTAAAGCATAGGAACGAGAACACGCCAAAACTAGTGTATTACGTTCTAGCGACAGCGTTTGAGAAAAACAAACATTTGTCGTGTAAAAGGACAACTTAGACGAACAAAAACAACACGCTCCTACAGCTGCACTGGACATGAGCAGAAGGAAGTGAAGACGTCTTATCCGTCTATTAGCAGCGGCAATTCATTTCCCCAAATATTTGTCAATTCAACTTGTCGTCTCTCGGAATTCCTATCATATTTTTGCTCTTTTGAAACATGAAAAAGGTACACACACACTACGCACATCTCAACGTCATTGTGTCCGCACACATCACGTACGCTTGTCTGGATGGAGTGTGACGCCAAAGCTCCTCGAGTGAAGTCTCGCGGAGTAAAACACCGGCCATCTTTCTCCATTTATAGCAGGACACTTTGTGCTTGGGTAGTGTAACCGAGAGTGTCGCGATCACTTTGTTTAGCCTGCAACTTTTGGCAAGTTTGATTTAGTCGTCCAAGCATACAAACTTACGACAAACCTAACACAAACAATGTTTGTGTTTACCGCTGCAAAGTTTTTTCGCTGACATCCTTGTGCGGATAGATGCTTGTCTAAACTGTCGCACAAATGGAAATGGTGCCTAGCGAGGAGAACCAGTTCGTACCCAAAGAGGTGAGGTTATTAAAGGACCCATTCCCGAACCGAGAGACAGCCTCTGAACGTTAGTCGTCACCGACGTAGGTCGTGCACATCAATAACGGGAAAAACTTTGGCACCACTTTAGGAGTTTGCGATCTTAGTGTGTCGGGTCGTAGCTAACTCCCTGCCGCTAACAGTTAGCCTAACATGACTTGAACGGCCTATGATGACACGGCTAACCGATGCTAACGTCAGTTAGCGGCTAGTCGCTTCGTCTCAGGCGAAGTAAATTTGTTTAGATACCGAAAGGTTGGGGATAAACGTTGTCCAGTCATGGGGCATTCGGATTTGGGGTTGTCGCAGTCAAACAGTTTAAATGTTTTCAGTTGTTGTCGTTGACATTGTGTTATCCCTTCATTCAAAGACGATATTTCAAATTTGTCAACATTAGTTAGCTAACTTGCATAACATTAGCAAGTAGGATTTGGCTAGCTAACATCGTTAGCCTTTTAAATCTCGTCAGTTGCAACAACTGTAGCTAATCTCGATGTTTTTGGAACTTGCTTTCTCCTATATAGACGTCTAACGTGATACACGGTGTAAAAGCGGTTTCTACAAATACTAATACATGTTCTTTTTTTAAATACTCTTTTTATGTTTGTAATTTTTTATTCTGTATTGAGTAAAACTTATTATTCATCCCAAACGTTAATCTTGGCGAGTAAAACCGACAAGCCTTAGCTAATGTTATCTGAATTGAGGCGCTGCTTTAATGTCAAAGGTACAGGTGGGAGAAACGTATGGTTCCTGATAGTGAAATGAAAGTGCGAGTTGTATGTGAGCGCTTATCACTTTGATAGTGATGATGTTCTTAAGGTGTCGAGAAGATGAACGATTTACTACATTTGGCTTGATGACTGTCTGACACCGATCTGCTGTGGGTTTTCTTAAAATATCAACAGTAGATCCTTCTTTTTTGAACAAGTACACGTACAGCTCTACATTTTCATTTAAGAGAAATGTAATAGTTTCCGGTTTCGTCAACGTCAGTTGTAGGCTGACATGTCGAACAAGGTTAACAGGGCGATTTTTATTCCATGAGTCCGACCTGTAGTCATATTCACCTGTTACAATGTATTTACACAGATCGGGCATGCTATTACAATGTTTTATATCAATGTTGACATCTCTTTGTTTGGAACATTGTTTTTTTTAAGTGACACTTAGGATAGACTCCTGGGTCATGGTTCCAGTGGCACCCATTTACATTAAAATCAATTATTTGGTTAGACATTTCTCTTTTTAAACTCTAAAATTATATTAATAACTTGTGACTTGGGCCACGAATAATATACTGTTGTCATTTCTCTCTACGTTTTATCTAAAAAAAATATAAACTCGAATGCTTGTTGAAATGTGTTGTAAGAAGGATTAATTGGCCTGTGTGGTTACTAATTTGTACACAGGGGACCATTATTTTTTAACATCTTAATCATCTATTGCGAATTTAGACTAAGAGATTTACTGACACTTTAAGGTTACTAAATAGGCAAAAGGGGGTTTTGATTAACAGGTGGAGATGAAAAGGTGGAAAGTGAAATAAAAAATTCTTGGAAAATGGCATTATATTCCCTATGATGTTTCCCACTAATTGTGGATTGAATAAAGAATTTTTTTTATTTAATTTTTTTATTATTTTAAGTCTACTTAAGTGGCTGAAACACATATAACACATACACCTGTTTCATATACTTAAGTTTAGGCACAGTTTGCTAGTTTTTTAAGTATTTAAAAAAAGTAAGCTTGAAACATAAAAACGATAAGATAATCTATTTGGTGGTCATTCATTTAAAAAAAACAACAAAAAAACTAAAGCAATACTTCTTTAAACTTTGTTATAACAGAAACATCTATGATGTACTGTGATTTAGCACGCTTCCTTTTGTTTTGCAGGAAAGGTATTAATAATTGACAGTCGTCAGAAAAAGCCACACTGAATCACATACAGCTCTTTATTGTACATATTACTGCCAATTTATTATTTATGGTAGTTATAGAAGATCAGTACTTTAGGCGGAGGTCTATATTGATCTGGTTTTCTGATGTTTTTCTCATGTGTTAAAGTGTTATATAGTGAGTTAGCTGCTAAACGCAATTTCTTTCTGCATTATTTGTTTTTCTTTCTGGACACTGTGTCTGTTTGACATTTAATAACAAATAGATTAACTTGTTAATTGTAATAAAAATTTACATCGGTTTAAACGGGATTTTTTGCAGCCAATGATGGCATTTCTTAGCATATTTCAGCATCTTGTTGTGTTTTGTTGCGAATTTGAGTTTTAAGGCTTCCATCAATGAAATGGCTCTGATCCACAGCAGCTGCATTTAAAAAGCTTCCTCCATTGCTTTATGAAATAATTGGTGGCGAATGGCATGAAATAATTACCCGCTCCCAATTATCTCAAAATGCCATTCAATCAGCCACATTAATTGTTCGGTCTGAAGTCGATTTTAGCACGGCCATATTGTTTTTTTTTTTTTTTTTGCTTCAGTCTCTGTGGCGTGCAGCTGTACAACCCATTACATTGTGTTGGTGATGTGTTCAGAGACGCTGACATTTCCCCGCACCGTGTTCTGCTGTAATTTTTGTGCCAGGAATAATTACTCAGATCTGTAAATGCTGCCTATCTTTTCTGTTACCTGTGGCTTCATGTCAGCACCTTGTGATTATATCCATGGTAAAAATAACCTTTAATCTCATAATACAATTGTGTGTTGTCAGCTGCGGCTACTTTATGGGACCTGTCAGTCACATTTTGTCAAGATTGCCGACCTCACAAAGAGGTAGCGAAAACTGGAATGGCCTGATTGTGTTTCCATTTTAGTAACCCTTTCATCTTCCATGCTATTACTTTACCAACCGGACAGTTGTGATTGTAGGTCTTCAGCTTCATTAAACTGCAGTTTGTTTTAGAATAATCAGAAAAATGTGCTTTTCAGTTTTTTTTTTATGTTTGCAAATTATTTCATCCTTCATCCAACCTGTTTCCACCTGTCATTAGGGTGTGTTTTGGAGTTGCAGACAGAGTATTTTTGATGAAATGAAGAGGATTTCTCAGGTGTGTGCGAGGCGAAGCATGGTGTTGAACATATGCATGAAGCTCCACTTATCATGAATGCCAAGCGATGATAAAGACGTCTTCAATTAAGAGTTGGCTTGATCAAGTGCCACATATCAAACCAAATATTGAGGAAATGTCCTTTTTCGGAGAGTTTCTGCTCAGTGAGTCGAATAGCAATTATTTGAAAAGTGGTCAGTAGACTTCTGAACAGCAATAGGAAAATTAGACACCTCAGCAGAAAATATAAAACAATTTCTCACATCTAAGCTGCTATGTGAAACTGACCACATCAATGTGATTGTTAAGATTTATTTTACTGCTTGTGGTGAGTGATGCATAAATCACAAGTGTGCAGCCATAACGTTTTAATACCTTCAGACTAATTTCATAAGATGCACTCAAATATCGAAATCTCCTTTTTTCCACTCATCTGATCAACTACAGTTAAAAAAAACAACAACATTTACAGCTTTAAGTTATATTATTTGATGGATGTCTTTGTTGTTCTGACCGTTTACAATTTTACAGCCATTCTAAATTCAGTTGTTTCCAGAAACGCCTGATGCATGTCTTTTCAACTTAAACTTGTTTTCCAGTCTGCCTCAGCGGGCATGGTTTCCTTTTATGTGCTGGAATTTTTACTGATGATAACCTTTGCGATACATCTTTATTTGGCACCTTCATGTTTAACTTTTTTTCGCAAAAAGAAATCGATTGAGTAAATGGTGTTAACGTCTCCCTCCGTGCTCTGGATTTTCAGATTCAGAATGCAGCTGAGGAGCCCAGAGTGCTGTGCATAGTTCAGGACACCACCAGTGCGAAGACGGTCAACGAGAGGCTGACCCTCAACTTGCCTGCCTCCACTACTCTTTCCAAGCTTTACGAGGATGTTGCCCACAAAGCTGGATATGTGCACGGCACTTTTGAGCTTGCCTGGGGAAATTTTCCTGAAATGGTGAGGAAAGCTTGCTGCACTTGTCACTTTGTTGTTTCAACGTGAATGAATGATCTCAACAGAGCTCAAGTAAAGCGATACATATTGACATATCAAATGGTAGTCAGCGTAATTGCCGTTTTATTTTCTCCCTTTTTAAATTTTTTTTAACACGTCTAGAGAAAGTTTAGTGCGATCCCCAAAATAAAATTATTGAAATTAATTTTGGTTTGTCAGCTTGAGACATTTACTGTTCACAAACATCGAAAAGTTTATTAGCAGCAGTCAGATTGGACCTACTGGATACCAGAAAACACAAAGAGTTGGAAGCAGAAGCATTCAGAGATTCCTGCTGTGAAAAAATAAAAAAGATAAGTTCATAAAAGGAAACTTTGTCTCTTATCTGTCGCAGCAGTGTATCCTCCTGCGTGCTCGGCTGTTTTCCTTATAATACATCGCTCTCGCCAGTAGAGCTGTAATTGACGAAGACGGCTAATTTAGAAATTTAGATGACTGTTTGCTTTATAATGAATGCTTCTTCATCGCTGGTAATGATTTTGGGAACACTTCCTCACGAGTCACTTGATACATCATTAGAACCGCAGATACACTCTGTGGTTTGATAGAATTTTCTGTTTCAGGGAACAGAAGTAGACTGCCACTATGATCGCTGGGACTCATTCAGTACACTTATAAAGACGAACTGAGACGCTATTAGGGGACCAGCCAGAGACCTTTTGAAATACGAAAAATAAAAAGACCTGAACACTGTCAAGGTCCCGGCTCAGCGTCAGCTGTCGAAAACCTTTAGTCTGCCACACAATAAGAATGACCTTTGACCTCTGAGGGCTCACAAGAGTTTCGTTTTGATTTAATCTTTTGCATGAAAGTATTGCGATATGAACGCCGTCATTTTGAAACTACAACTTGGAAATGAGCAATCATAAACAATCGCGCTGAGACTGTTGCACGGATATTTTGTCGGGGTACACGCAAGGCCAGCTTTCAGTTTGTGTTCAACTTTGGTGTGCTGAAGTTGAAGTATTTTTGGCAATCCCCGCTGGGATTAATAATCGCTGCTCCCACCCTGAGTTTCTACTTGCTATTTTCTCATGCTTCACTTATGACAGGCAAAGTGGTCCCTGCAGGGCCAGCATATTATAACCTCAGCATTTGCTAATAATGGAAGTGCCGGGTGGCCGTGCCAACTGCTCTGTTTATTTAAACTGCGCTCAAAAGCGGATAAGACAGCTCTGCTGTAATGTAAAGAAAAGAGAGACTGACCTCTTACATGAAGCTCAAACCAAGAATCAGATCATAGTTAATGTTCCTAACCCATACTGAGCTTGTTCCCTTGTCTCTCCCTATACATATTACTACCTTTTCTCAAATGAGCCCAGGCTAATCCTGCTGCTGACCCATGCCAAAGCCCAGGTGCTGTGTCTGTTGTTATCTCACTGAGTAGGTCAGTGGATTAAGCAACTACATGTTTCCACTGCTGCACTTGCGTGCTGGAATCCTAGTGAAAGACGGCAGGTAGCAGCGCTCGCATGTTTGCTCCAAACTGCTTTGTTCATGCACACCAGAGCAGGGAATTTGCGGCAAATGAACTCAGAACGCGTCTAAATGTTCTTGTGAGTTGTTCAGATTTGTAGTTTGTCAAGCATTTATTTAGTTGTTTGAGGCTCTTTGTTTTCCTTCTTTTTTTTCGTTGATTTTTGTCTATGTTTGTCTCAAGGCTCCACTAGAACATAATAGTGAGATGTCCCTCTCGGAGTCTGGGTTCGAGCCAGGCGGGAAGAGAAATTTTCTCCAACTTACAGACAAAGATGGAGAGCAGCCGCAGGTTGTATCGGTGAGTGGCATAAATTGGGCTGAATTGATTTCTGCTGATAATAAAGGGGGAAAGCATCCATATATAAAAAAAATAGCTTTTACTACAAGGTGTGTTTTCTGTACACAGGACGAATCGGGGACAGCAGATAGCAGTGGGCTGGATGACAGCTCCCAGGAGCGATTTATCGGGCCTTTACCGAGGGATGGATGTGCGGGCGGCAGCGGGGACTACAGCAGCCCATCGTACTCGTACTCATCCATCCTCAGCAAATCTGAGACGGGTGAGGTTTGCACATCTCTTTGATTGCGGGACCCCAAATAAAACCATTTTACAACACATCTCCCCCTCCGCCTGCAGGTTACGTTGGCCTGGTGAACCAAGCTATGACCTGTTATCTAAACAGCCTTCTGCAAACGCTCTTCATGACCCCAGAATTCAGAAATGCCCTTTACAAGTAAGGAATCGTGAATTTAAGTATATTTGAATAAAACAAAATCTTTCCTGTATGTTCTTCTCATGACTGGATATTTTCAGCTGGGCGTTTGAGGAGTCGGAGGAAGATCCAGTCACCAGTATCCCATACCAGCTGCAAAGGCTGTTTGTCCTGCTGCAGACCAGTAAGAAACGGGCGATTGAGACCACTGACGTGACGCGGAGCTTTGGCTGGGACAGTAGTGAGGGTGAGGTTCTTTTCTTTCTTTTTTCCTCCTCCCTCCTGTGACTGAACTCACATGGCTTGTCTTCGTGCTTGCGAGAAAAGAGCATGTGCTTCAGCTTCTGTTGTCTTAATATAATTTTTGTGGGCTTGTGTTTAGCTTTTTTTTTTGGTCTGTTTGTTTTTCTCAGCGTGGCAACAGCATGACGTCCAGGAGCTGTGCAGAGTTATGTTTGATGCCCTGGAGCAGAAGTGGAAGCAGACAGAGCAGGTAGGAGAAGACAAGACGTTTACTGAGTCGCCAAACAAAAATTCAGCGGGCAAACCCAACGCTCCCCACCAAAAGAAAGCAAACAAAAGACCTGTTGTGAAAAACTGTAACGAGCCACTGAGTCCATGTGCTGGGGTTTGTCTTATCACTAGAATGACGTATATACTGCCAACCATTACAGTGTGTTTATTTACAGCCCTGGGTTCTGGACATGTGAGCTCCATTAGGACAAAATAATGCATGTGAGCGCCCCCCCCAAAAAAAGGAATTTAACTACATTAGAAAACGGCAAAATTAAAGATTAATCGTGAATCAGTTACTTATAATTCTTTTATCTCAAGAATTGGATTAAATGCCCAGCAAATTGTGTGGTGTGTTTTAGGGTTTTCTCATTGTCCTACATTTTCCTCTCTGTTAATTTAGTATTGCAGCTAAGCACATTGAGCCATAGAAAAGTTTTAAGTTTTACAGTTTGATTCATGCTTAGATGTATGTCGTGGCTTGCCTATGGCCTGACAGGATCCTCCCCATAAATGCATGTTTACAGAGCTGGTGAGTTGTTCAAACCGGATGCCCCGGTCTTTTTTTTCTTTAGTATTAAGAGCAAACTTGGATTGAGAAGCAGAGCTTAAATGTTGAACAAAGGTGTATTGCACATGGATCGTACATGCTTCTCTGCCAACATTCTCTAAATTTTATGTGACAGCTATGCGACTGTTCATATGGAGGCATGCTCCACGTGTTCATGCTTCTGGAGTTCAGTACCGATCGTTTGAAAAGCACAAACCCAGAGCAGACCATACCTTTTTCAGTGCCCTTTCTGCTTTTTTCCTTTCCGAGTTTTGCCCCGCAGTATCATCATTGTCCTGTCTTTTGTACTCTCATTGGCCGTTCCCCTCGACGCAATAATGCAATCACAAAATGCATCCTCGGAGTCTTCTAACCACAATGATTGCTAACCACTAATCACAGAATGAAATTCCCACAAATCAACTTATTCTCTGATGTCAAAATCAGACTTCAGATCTCCCACTGTGAGATGGGAGTTTTCGGAATAGAGACGGCGTCTGTGAGCATGAGGCTCTCAGCTGATTCTGCAGTGACACGTTAATGTGGTGCTGAGCATTCTTTGTCTGGTCTGCGAGTAACCAAAGGGAGAAAGGGGCAGAAAGAGAATGCTTTCTTTGCTCAAATGTATTGAAAACTGTAGGCCTGTGCATATGAAGTGCGTTAAGGGAAGCAGCCTTTCTAAATGGCAGGAAAAGCTCTGCAAGGCATGAAAAAAAAATTCTATAAATGACTGTGATCCATAAATGTTCTCTCCTAAAAAGTTTTTTTCATTCAATTAGATCAAACTTTTAATCGGTTTACACCGATGTCGGTGCGTTTATGGCAATCGGAATGCGAGGCTGTGAGAAGAACTAAAGTAAAATTTAAAGATTGAAAATAACTGACTGTTATATCCCCTCATCCTCAGGCTGATCTGATCAACCAGTTGTACCAGGGGAAGCTGAAGGATTATGTCCGTTGTCTGGAATGTGGCTATGAGAGCTGGAGAATTGATACTTACCTGGACATCCCTCTTGTCATCAGACCCTTTGGAGCCAGCCAAGCATACGGAAGTGTGGTGGGTTTACTAAGTTCCCCATTAACACTTTCTCAGTTCACACTTTACAATTCACAGCTACTTAAAAACCCATTGGGATACATTTCATGACAGTTAAATGTTAAAACTTTCATCCAAATGGACCTGCGCAAATCAATTTTCCGACACAGGAGGAGGCCCTGCAGGCATTCATCCAGCCAGAAACTCTGGATGGACCCAACCAGTACTTCTGCGAGCGGTGCAAAAAGAAATGCGATGCTCGAAAGGTGAGCAACCGGGAAACAGGCCTGGTGTTCAGAGACCACGCTGTTCTACTTTCAAACTCATCTCTCTCTGCTCTTCACCCAGGGTCTCCGATTCCTGCACTTCCCCTACCTGCTGACGCTACAGCTGAAAAGATTCGATTTTGACTACACCACTATGCATCGCATCAAGCTTAATGACCGCATGATTTTCCCCGATGAGCTGGACATGAGTCCATTCATCGATGTGGAAGATGAGGTGAGAGAAAACATCATTCTGTCTGATTCAGATGAGATCAGTGGGCCCTTGGTGTGGTCAGTGGTTTCTTGGGTAGCCTGAATATGACGATTATTTGTCTAAGTCTTCCTGTAACATCGCTGTGTCCGCCGTGATTTTGGGGGTTTTACCTGAGCTCATTCAGTACCGACAAATGTTGTGGTCATAAATGAAAAGAAACCACCACCAGCCACCAGGCATGTGGATCATTCAGGACGTGTTGGACATTTTCACCTTGAAGAGCTTCTATCGTCTCAGCCATGTTGTTAGTAATTCTGACAATTAGAAAAAAAAGTTGTTCTTAGGTTATTGTGGTTTCATCTACTACTTTGCACCCGCTGGCAAACAGTAGGGCTGGGGTTAGGGTCACGCTTTTCAGTGCTAACTATTCATCCCAAAGAATGCAGTGTAAATTTTATCGTGGGATTCTTGTGTGTGTGTTTTTATTTAGAATTTGAATTATTTTTTGTCCTCCGTCTGTGATGCATGACGTTGTGTACACTGTACCAGAGCATGAATGGCCGCCGGCCTTGTTTCCTTTCAAGTCTCAAACCGTTCCTCTGTGGTTCTGCCTTATCTCACCGAGCACTCTGTTTGAGCTGTCGCGTTGGTCTCATCAAGGTGGACGTATATTACGGCTAAAAATTGTCTCTGTTATTGGTTTTGTAATTGCCCCCTCTCTAGAAGTCACCTCAGACAGAGAGCTGCACTGATAGTGGCGCAGAGAATGAAGGCAGTTGCCACAGCGACCAAATGAGCAACGATTTTTCCACTGACGACTGTGTGGACGAGGGCATCTGCTTGGACAGCACCAGCAGCACAGAGAGGGCATTGAAGCCAAAGGTATCCATCTCCCTCTGCTCTGACTGGAAATATATAGTCCGTATATCAACTTGAAGCATCAGATGATAAAATGTGTTCATCAACTAAGACAAGGACAATTCTATCTCAAAGTCTTTTCCAAACCGGAGTCATCTCATTCTGTCCCAGTGAATGTGCATTCGCCTTTCAGAGACTGAGGAATGATGTCGTCCCTAAAGTTCTGCACTTTTTAATGGAAACTTTTGTCTGAACAGTGTGAAAGGCAGTGTCTTGGAAAAAATCGAGGTTCAGTGCGCAAAAAGTAATGAAACTTGGAATAAACATCATCTCCAGAGCTGCTTCAGCACAATGTTTTTCTGAAAACATTTTCTTTACACTGTACAGGTCTCATCAACAGCACATCTTTTGATAGCTGCTTCAATCTTCATAATGTTTCTCCCTTCGCTTTCAGAGCTTGCTGACCTTTGAGCTGTTTTCTGTCATGGTCCATTCGGGTAGTGCTGCTGGGGGCCATTACTACGCCTGCATCAAATCCTTCAGCGACGGCCAGTGGTACAGTTTCAACGATCAACACGTTAGCAAGGTTAGCCTCAGGGTTCAGGCCACCTGTCTCCTCCTTATACAGCGAGTCGGTCTTAGACAACCCACTGTTGAATCGTGCCTACATTTCTTAACAGATCACGCAGGATGACATCAGGAAGACATATGGGGGGTCCTCGGGGAGCAGAGGCTATTATTCCAGTGCCTTTGCAAGGTCAGTTGTTAACTTTTCCGTCACTCTTAAAAACACATTTAAAAGAAGACGTCGGCTCAACGGTTCAAAGTATTTTCCCTTCATCTTTTTTTTTTCTTCCAACAGCTCTACAAATGCATATATGTTGATCTATAGACTGAAAGACCCCTCAAGGAATGCAAGTAAGTTATGTCAACACAATCATGCCGAAGACTTTCTCATGTTGTTTAGTAAGTGTCAGACTGTAATCAGACTATAAAAACAGTTTTTTACCAATATGGGTTATGTTTATAACTGGCAAGGTTTCAACCAGACACCCACACAGTCCACCTGGATTAAACTGGCCCACTCTTATGCTTATATAGGGGGCATGTTTGATGCTTCTCTGTGTAATTGGACCAACCTCTGAAGAATCAGATCTTGGTTTTTCGTGCCTCGTGACATCTTTTTGTGCAGTGTTGTTTGTCTTATTTCCCCGTCCTTGCTATATTACAATCCAATATCTTGTCTCGTATTGACACCGAGTTACCCCAAAGCAGACGGTTTAACGTGTCTCCTTGTGGTCTGCCTGCAGAGTTTTTGGCTGTGGAAGACTTTCCAGTGCACATAAAGACTTTGGTTCAGAAGGAGAAAGAGTCTGAAGAGCAGGAAAAACGCCAGAGGGAGATTGAGCGCAACACTTGCAAAGTAAAGACCAACTAGCATATTTTCTCATTCTATTTTGAGGGGGAAAAAGGGGAAAAGGTTTTGCTATATGTGTGTTCTTTATGTTTAGATCAAGCTTTTCTGCATGCATCCTGTGAAGATGATGCTGGAGAGCAAGCTGGAAGTGCACAAAGACAAAACTCTGAGGGAAGCAACAGAAATGGCCTACAAGGTTTGCTGGTTTCATCTTTTAGATTATTTTACTAAACAATGGTATCAGTAGGCCATGCAGGCCTGCCTTTTTTCCACGTCATTCACAAGACTGTTTGAAGCAGTCACATCATTTCTTGATACGGTAGACACTGCACTTCGTTTCTTAGTGAGCCTGTGCTCTTTGTACTTCAGCTGATGGAGCTTGAGGGAGTCGTCTCTCTGGACTGCTGCCGCTTGGTGAAGTACGATGAGTTCCACGAGTACCTGGAGCAATCGTACGAGGGGGAAGAAGACACTCCCATGGGCCTCCTCCTCGGGGGTGTTAAATCATCGTACATGTTCGACTTGCTGCTGGAGACCCGCAGGCCAGAGCAAGTGTTCCAGCCTTACAAACCGGGAGGTCAGAAGTCAATGACGTCAATTTTTCTCCATATTTTTTTTGCAGATTTTTTCTGAATAGTAAACGGAACACCGCTTAATGTTCACACGGGTTTGTGTTTGTCTGCAGAGGTCATGGTGAAAGTTCATGTTGTTGATCTGAAGAGTGAGACCATCGCCCCTCCGATAAGTGTTCGAGCGTACTTGAACCAGACGATCACTGAATTTAAACAGCTCATTGCACAGGTTTCTCATCCTCATTGTTTGTGTTTTATTTTAACTGCTGGGAAGATAAAAAATGTGAACGCTTCCTATGTGTTTTCCAGGCTACAAAGTTGTCAGCAGAAACCATGAGAGTGGTCTTGGAGCGCTGCTATAATGACCTCAGGCTTCTTTATGTTCCAAACAAGACACTCAAAGCTGAGGGTTTCTTCAGAAGTAACAAGGTCCTCTGTTTGTGTCCTTACTGACAGTCACAGTCCTCACAAATGATTACAAGATGACCTGAATTCTGACTCTCTGTGTTTCTCATCAGGTTTTTGTCGAAAGCTCTGAACTGACGGATCATCAGGTTGCTTTCACCGAATCACTGTTGTGGAAACTGCTGGACCGCCACGGGAACACCATCCGACTTTTAGTCCTGCTGCCAGAGCAGTCTCCCGGTACCCTGGCCAGCAGAACTCTTTGCCAAAAAGCGGGAGAGGACTCCGATGGGCCCTGTGAGGGGTCAAAGGGTAACAGGAAATCTGTCGAGGCTATCCTGGAAGAAAGCACGGAGAAGCTGAAGAACCTGTCTCTGCAGCAGCAGCAGCAGCAGCAGGGCTCTAGCACCAGTGACAGCCAGAAAAGCTCCGACGCCAGCGACTTCGAGCACATCGAATCTCCAACCCAAGAGGCCGACTCGAACTCCTCACTCTGCGTGGCCGCGGACAACAGAGAGCTCGATAATCGGATCAGGGCAGCTCCTGGGGGCGCTTGCGGCGCCTCCGCTGATACTGAGAACCAGTTTGTGTGCGAGGAGCGGTCGGACTCTGAGGTGAACAATGACCGCAGCACCAGCTCGGTGGACAGTGACATCCTGAGCTCCAGCCACAGCAGTGACACGCTGTGTAACGCAGACAGCGGCCCCATCCAGCTGGCCAACGGCCTGGATTCTCACAGCATCACAAGTAGCCGGCGCTCCAAAGCCCACGAGGGCAAAAAAGAGACCTGGGACACTGCAGAGGAAGACTCTGGAACAGACAGCGAGTATGACGACAACGGCAAGAGCAAAGCAGAGGCTCAGTACCTGTACTTCAAAACAGAGCCTTTTTCTCAGGGCGATGCTCTGTGGGATGCACAAAAATGTACAAACCTTTTCACTTATTATGCACATTTTCATTAGTTTTGACTTGTATAGATAGTTTTAAGGACTTTCTGAATCAACCTAAGCTGGAAAAATGCACATTTATTGTTATATAAATGGAACCTTCCTCCAGTTAAAGTTAAACATTTCAGTCAGTTTGAGCATCACAGCAGCTGTGTTTCCTTTGTGTTTTTTTCTTCTTTTTTGGCTAATCATTTTGACCAAATGTTGTGTTGTATGTCTCGTGTGACCTGCTTCAGGTTTAGTGGTTCATGTGGACAAGAGAATTACTCTAGCAGCTTTTAAACATAACCTGGAACCCTACGTTGGAGTAACCTCGACCCAGTTCAAGGTGTTCCGGGTGTACGCCAACAACCAGGAGTTTGAGAGCGTGCGGCTCAACGAAACCCTCTCGTCATTTTCCGACGACAACAAGGTCAGGACACCTCGTCCGCGGTGTATCCGTCTGAAGCCGGGGCTTTGTGGGAGAAGGTTCTCCTACGTGAAGCGCCGCTTAACTTTGTTATATTATTTCTTTTCCCAGATAACCATTCGACTTGGCAGAGCACTGAAAAAGGGCGAATACAGAGTTAAAGTCTATCAACTGCTCGTGAATGAACCCGAGGTGAGATGCCGTTTGTGTGCAGAAGCTCCTGCCAAACCAAGTGTTCCTCTTCCCTTCATACTGTTATTGTTTCCTCAGCCCTGCAAGTTCCTTGTAGACACGGTGTTTGCCAAGGGCATGACTGTCAGACAGTCCAAAGAGGAGCTGCTTCCTCAGTTAAAAGAGCATTGCAAGTTGGACCTCAGCATTGACCGGTAAGACCAGGCAGGCTGACCGACAGCACCCGCTCGGGAGAAGAACATCAGGTGTGTGCAAACCAGTTTGTTTTGTTTTTTTCGAATTTTGTGTCTTCAGGGTTCGTCTCAGGAAAAAGACATGGAAGAATCCAGGCACAGTGTTTCTGGATTACCACGTCTATGAGGAGGACATCAGCATTTCCTCCAACTGGGAGGTCTTCCTGGAAGTCCTTAATGGTAATTTAAAGTTTTGAAAGCTGGCGTTTGGAGTTTTTTGACGCCTTGAACCATTCAAATGACTTCTATCGAAAAGGGCTATAATAAATGTAAATAGTGAATACGAGATATGAGCATCGTATACGGGGAAACGCCCTGAAACCAGCACAGTGCTTTTCATTGTTCCAAGTTTGAGCTACAGCACAGATTATTTATCTATTGTTGTCCATGTGTCAGAACCAGAGAAGATGAAGTCCATGTCACAGCTAGCTGTTCTGACTCGGAGGTGGAGCCCAGCTACGATGAAACTGGGGCCATTCGAGGAGGTGATCCTGGAGAGCAGCAGCGTCGATGAACTCAAGGATAAGGTAGTTGTCTCCTGGTAACTTGTTGAGTAAGAAAACGTGGACATATGCACTGCTGGGAATGATATTTTAATCTTTGAAGTGCAGCATTATAAAAAAAGAACTCTCCAGGCAGATGTAAATGTAGGGAGAAGGAAATCCACACCTGTAGAATCCACCACCACAGATCATCTTAACTTGGAAACTCCTTAAATACTCCAAAAGAAACAATCCTTTCATTTTGTAGAAGTGATCTGTTTCTAATATTTATCCTCTCTTTGCAGCTTAGTGAAATCAGCGCTCTTCCTCTGGAGAACCTGGAGTTTGCAAAGGTGAGTGTGTTTCATTATCTGTCAGGGTGTCCCAGTGGTCATGACGCGTGGCTTTACCGGTGGGCTGCTTTTCTTCTCTGTGCAGGGAAGAGGAACGTTTCCATGCGACATATCTGTGCTGGAGATCCATCAGGATTTAGACTGGAACCCTAAGGTTTCGACGCTTAACGTGTGGCCTCTTTACATCTGTGACGACGGGGCTGTGGTCTTCTACAGGTAAAGAAGTCAAAACGGGGTCATGCTGCTTGTGTTGTTAAACGCTCTTGGCACTCACAGGTTTAGATGGAGCGAAGGGAGCTGTTGCTGTCTCTCAGGTTACTGTGATCTCTGTGCAGGGACAGCACGGAGGAGCCCCTGGAGCTGTCGGAGGACGAGCGGAACGAATTAATGAAGAAGGAGAGCAGCCGTCTGCTGAAGACCGGGCACCGTGTCAGCTACTCCCCACGCAAGGAGAAAGCTCTCAAAATCTACTTGGACGGTGGCCCCGCGAAAGACCCGGGGCAGGACTGAGTCTCAGAGAAGCCGCAGGTGGTTGTTTAGATGGTCTGGCTGCTGCAGGAGGGCAGCCGGGCATCGGGACTCTGAATGTGGGGCCCGACAGTGACTTGAAATCGAGCAGCATTGTGAGGCGGATGCTTTCTCAACCTCCACTCGGAGCCCCTGGGCTGGCTCAAAAACCCTGTTGTGCACTATAGTGTATCGTACTGTAAAGTTTAAAGGGAAGTACAAAAGCTTTTGATGCAGAAAAAGAATCAAGACCTGTACTTTACAAATCAGTGGAAAGTAATCACGTCGGCTTTGGATGCAGAGTCCGGACTGTGAAGGCGGTCCGGGAGGCATCCTTCCTGTTGATTTAGGTTTCACTTCACCTCTGAAATCAGCTCCCTTTCACACCCCTCCCTGTGCCCGTGTGTTCATCTTCCTGTTTTGGACAAAAGCGCTGATACTGACTCATCTGTGGCTGTCTTGTAAGTCTAATGTTCTCACACCTTTTAGCTCTGCTCTGTTGGCGAGATCACTCATCTTTCATTGCCCACCTCCCTAGAACACATATTAAAAAAATGACCATCCCTTATTCAAAAATTACCAAGAACTATGTATGCAGCCATCCTCTTGTGATGGGCACCTTCTCAGTGACTTTAAAGTGAAATAATTAATTCACAACAATTGATTAATCAAAAAAAGAAAAGAAAAAAGAAGTAGCAGTTAAGAATTTCTAATCTGGAGGTGTTTTTCTGCTCCTGGAATACCCAGAGGTGAGGTGTTATGGGTTGTCCTGAAAGCTGCTCTCTGTACTGTGTAGGAGCTCCTCCTCATCACTTCCACCTCACCTAGTGATGCATAAGCTGTTCTTCTCCTTAATATAAAATCCAACAAAACATAACCAAGTAGACTATGTTAAGAATTTCCATGTTTTTTGTTTGCTGTTAATTTTTTTTTTTTCTCCAGACTTTCAGGTGGGTCTTGAGGGGCTCCAGACACACAACTGCTGTCTGTATTATTCTTTGATTTAGAAAGTGTCTATCTCTTTTTTCTTTTTTTTTTTGCACCTAGAGAACTGGGTGTACACGTCAAGCATCATCCACACGTCCGTGTGTGTGCGTGTGTGTGTGTGTACGCATGTGTGCTGTGCTGACGGGAGGGGTCTCTCTCCGGGTTATCGGTAGAGAGTGGGAGGTTATTTTCTGGCGCTTCTAACTGCTGCTGCTTGATAGACTGATGGACACCAGAGGGTGTAGAAAGCCTATTGGACCCTTCAGTCTGGTCCGAGGACTGAAGCTAAGCATCGTGCCCCCCCCACATCCCCAGGGAGTCTGACGCTGCCACCAGCTATTCACCGTAGAAATGCCAATGTCGGATTTAAAAAAAATAATAAATCAACTTTTTTTTGTTGTTATTTCTTTGAAATTAAAGGTCCTGTGTGAAAATAGTTAAAGATGATTTTAGCAATGAATTAAAGTGCTTTTTTTTGTAAATTGGCTTTCTGTACATTGTAAATCAAAACAGTTTCACAAAAAAAATTAAACAAAAGGAGAGGATGTTCTGCCTTATAAAAAAAAAAAAAAAAGGTTTTAAAAATCACTGTAGGTTGACTTTACTTTGAAGAAACATACAAATCCAGTTTGAGATTTCGATGAACCAAAGTTTTGGCTTTGAAACCGATTAATGTGGACAGATTTTAAAGTATTTAGAGCTGCATGACAGCTGTGTGTAATCGTCGGACTAAATTTAATTCCATGTATCAGGTGCTAACTGCTGCCTTAGGAGAGGTAAGTAATGTTAAATTGTGCCTTTTCATTTCGTGTTTCACAAATTTGCACTTTCTCCTCGTTTATCTAAAACGTTTGTTTCAGATTGTGTATATAGAACATTCATTCCGGTGAATGTAATGCCTGGGACATTCCACCCCACACATGTGCCAGTAAAGCTGCCTGATAAGACTGATACCGGAGGAGAGCACCAGAACAGAGGCAGGAGTGTTAGCACACACCTGGGGGAGACATCTATATCACGATGGGGGAGCCCACACAGCACCTCCACATGCTTGTACCACTTGTAGTTCCTTCTCCATTTGAATTATGAGAGGGAGTTTGGGCAGACAACAGGGTATGATTTAAGACACACACTAATGAAACACATTACAAAAGCGTCATCAGCACGTTGAAGACATCCTTTAATAACATGTCTGTGCAGAAGAATGTTGTCGCCCTTTGTGGTGAAGCAAACATATCAGCAGAAGAGGAAATAATACAAAAAGCTGTAGGCTGGAAGTGAAGATTGCAGAAGACCGCTTTGAGGATGTGTGCATGATTACAATTTGTGACCACTATGTAAAAGGGAATTGAAGGTAAAGCACATAAGATAGTGGAGTGCCTCAAATAAAGGTTAAATGACATTAATATTTATTATTAAAAATGAGATGGCAACAAATTTTAACAGTGGAATTAGTTTACAGTGAGCCCTACAGTTGAGCTGGCTCCTCTGCGCTTTTGGACTTATTGCAGACATCGAAAAAGCAGTGAAAGGCCTATTTCCATACATTACCCGTGCTTTAAAGTTGTACAACTTTGGATTAATCTGGCAAAAACAGACAAACAAATGCAAGACAGCTCAGGAGCCGGTGGGGATACCCGTCATGCTTCTGTTCAGTGTTTTCCATTTCAAAAGTGTCTAAAGTATGTAGTCTATCTCTGAATACAGAGAGTCTGTCAAGTCCTCTTCACTGGAGTCCTCTCCTTTCAGGCACATGGAACCCCGTCTGGAGACAGGGGAGCAGCGAAATGAAGAAAAACCTGGTTTATATGCTTGATGTAGTAAAAAAAGATCCGGACATGCTCACCCCAGATGCTGGCAGTGCAGGTCTCCGGCACAGGGGCAGTGCTTCCTGGGCCCCTCGCCCCGCGCGTCCCAGGACAGCATCTCCATCAGGTGGTTGGAGGCGTCCAGGCAGCGCTCGCGCTCGATGGGTTTGGCCGAACAAACGGCAAAACGCAGGGCTGGACACACACACACAGAGGGCACACATGCTCATTTTTCTGAGAGGACGCAGAGGGGACAGATGTGCAGCCGGGATGCGCGCTACCTTCATGGAGCGCGCAGCACAGGTCTGGGCTGCAGTCGCTCTGGTACCGACAGGTGCTGCCAGCCTCTCCTTTAGTGGCGTTCTGGGTGCACTGACCCCACACACACAGCTGGTCACCACAGCATTCCACATCCCTGGTACAGGACTGAGAGAAAAAACATCAACTTTATGTCTTTTTTCCCAATCAATAGTCCTGTGGGAAGACAATTCTGTGTTTGAGAATGGAGCTTTGAGGACATTGTCGATTCTATCTTTGATGAAATCTGAATGAGTTGGGCGGGTCGGCTGGTGTCTGATGGCGGTGGTCAGATCAGCCCATGCAGTGCAGTGATTTTGACAAGACACACACACACTGTCCGCTGCGTATACATTATCCCTGTCCAGCGCACGGTCACTTGGCAGACGGCCACAGGCCGGATCCATTTGCAGAGCTTTTTAATCTACGACACAGCAACCACTTCATCCGCCTTAAACGCCAAATTCAGCAGATCAGTACCAGGAAAGACCTAGCAAAGGAAGTGAGATGAGAGGAAAGGTGTCTTCTGTAGAGTTTCTTTAAAGGAAAGACAGAGGGGAGAAGCTCTTCTTTGACCTTGCCGTCCCTCCATGAAACGCGTACAAACACTCTCCGGTTACACCTGTGGACGCACTGCAATGCAGTCCACGTGTAACCCCAGTAGTCCCAAAGTAACACAATATCTCCTGTTTTGTTTTGTTTTTTCTTTCTCAAATGCCCAGGATTGTATGCAGAAGAACCAACACGATGTCGTAACTTTGGTTTTCAGAAAGAGAGAGCTGAATGACAAAAAGTCAACTTCTCTTACCACATCTGTTTCCTTACATGGCTGACATCTGGAGTTTTGTGTGCCAGTATAGCAGTACCTTCCCTTCACACAGTCCCCATCAGCGAGGCATCCCTGTAGAATCCAGAAAGAGATGAGATTACGGGTGGATTGTGGATTAGGCTTGCAAGTTGAATATTAATTTAAAATAAAATCAAAATAAATAATCGTTCTTTTTTCGTTTTGGATACGTGAAAGATTAGTTAATTTTAGCTGACGGCGAAAGCTTTAAGAAAGCCATCCCTTATTCATCAGTACATGTTTCCCATTATACATCCATCCATAATCGTTGCTGCTTATTTCCTAATGGGGTTGCAGGGAGAACTGGAAGAGGACTAGGCGGGGTACACCCCATCACAGGGCCACACAGAGACACACAAGGACAAACAACCATGCACACTCACACTCACTCCTAAGGGCAATTTGGAATGTCCAATCAACCAAACATGCAGATTTTTGGACTGTGGGAGGAAGCCCAAGAACCCGGAGAGAAGATACAGACTCCACACAGAAAGGTCCTGGTTCCCCCGGCCTCGAACCCAGAAGCTGTGACTCGACGGTGCTACCCGCCACACCACCGTGCCGCCCTGTTTCACATTATCATTCAGTCAAATCGGCTGCACGAATCTGGCTGAGTTCATCTGCAGACAGATTGCTGAGTCAGGAGCTATCATGCAGCCTTCACAGTGTTGAGAAATTCAGAGCGAGCTGCTGACATCCATGGGTTCTCTCTTAAAAAGACTCTTTTAAAGTATGTTATTCTAAACTACAAGGAAACAGAAAGCACTTACGTGATCAATAATGTTCCCCAGCTCATCATCCTGATCAGCTGTGGTGTTGTTGTTTGTCTCCTGTGCAAAGGTGAGTTCTGTTAGGTTTCTTTTCAGAAGGCTAAACGTACAGTATCTCTTCATTGTTTACAGACCTGCCTGCTCTGCAAAAGAGTCTACAGACTCATTATTAATCAGCTATTTTATTGTGATGACTGGCAGATTGGTTACTGAGAAGATAACCGGTTTATCTAAAGGGATTCTGATGATTGAGCATTAAGGAAATCCAGATTTCAGCTCATTTCACCACTGCGACTGCATCTTAAGCTATTTTCAGCGCATCTATCTGCACGCTAAACTGGAATATCCTCAAAACACAGTCTGCAAACCTCCGCACTTGCAGAGAGACAGCTTACTGCTGTGTCACGTAAACGGCAGATGCTGACAGATGTGAGCTGCCTACTTGAGGGATTGCATCCTCAGGCTTGTGCTGCGGGTCCTCCGGCAGCTGTTCCACTTCCACCAGCACGGGGTCCATCTCGGGTCTTTCATCCAGGATGTGACTGATTCCCGAGTCCACTATCTCAGGCAGGATGCCATTGCAGACTGCTGTCAGAGCCAAAACCAGCAGGGCGGAGCGCATCATGCTGCTGATGCTGCTGCTGCTGCTGCACACCGAGGAGGAAGAGCAGGAGGAAGAGCAGGAGGAGGAGGAAGAGGAGGAGGAGGAGGACGGGGGTGTGGCGACAAGATGCTGAGATACACAAACAACGTCACGACGGCTGCTGTTTCCGTCACCATACTTTCATATGTATTGTCCATCCTCCTATGCAGGCAGAACGCCACTTTTAGCTGGTCTATTTATTTAAAAAGTTCGCTTTAATGAGTCTGCAAACCTACAAACGTGGTCCCGATTCAGTTCAACCACAGTTGAAAATAAACCCGCAACGTCAACGACCGGTCACCATCACAACAGATGATTTCGCCGCTGGCCAGTTAAGTCCTGCCTATTTTCCAAAGAGTCAGTGAAGAAATCAAACATTTTCTGATAACCCAAAACACACGAATAAACGCTTTAGAAACAATACAAATGGACAAAAAAAAAAAAGAAGAGTCAATACAACAACGCGAATCCACACAGATTCAAAATGACCCAAAAGTAGCCGCAGATATCCCAAAAAGGCAGGGACAAAACAACTGAATAGCTACATAACAAAAAAATCCAAGATGGTCTGAAATGAGCTAACAGTGAGATAAGCAGGTTAAAACATGTAGCTTTGTGAAGCCATCAATAAATAGTTTCCTGATTAAAATGACCTAAACAAAGTCAGAATAACAGAACAGAAAAAAAAAGTTTAACAAATGTGAAAGGTAATTCAAAAATAGTAATTACAAGAGATGTTTAAATATGTCATTCCAAAAATGCTTTAATTAATAATTTAATTACAAGAAGATGTTAAAAACTACAAAAATACAGTCTCAAAATTCCCCACAGGTCATCTTCCACATACGGCCTGGTTTTCACTCATACATGCAGATACGGGCAACAGCTACAAAGCTCTCTTGTAGTGACAACAACAACATGAGGTCAAGCAATGGGTCAAAACTTCTCATGTGTTGGCCTTCATTGTATCTCCGAGAATCATTGATAGACGTCCCATGAAACGGTCTCCCTCCAAACTCCTAATTAAGACATCCTTGGTTGGATTCACAGAGCCCAAAACATCCCCATGTCACCCTGTCACCACTGTGTGTCCCTTACAAATGGGCCGTTCTGAGGTGTGTGGGGGGTGGTCTGCTATGGGCCCTGTGATCTATAATCCCTCCCTGCCTGTCTGGCTTTCTTCACAATCAGAGAGGTCTTCGGGTGAAGATAAAGTAATCAGCATGAGAGCCGTGTGACCATGCTGGAACGCTGACATCTCTCATTATCACAACCTTCTCCTTTTAAGTGACAACGAACGCCTTCAGAGACACAACATCTGACCCAAAACAAACAATTCAGCTGCTGGTCAAAAACTGTTTCATGAAGGTATTTTTCTAAACGTTTGTCAACCTACTCAATAGAAGCTGGAATCTGGTTGCTTTGGCCACCACACACAGGGAGAAGGGACCATCCATGGTGGATTTAACTGGAACTGCTCTCTGGCTGTAGTTCCCCAAAGTGACCAGTAGGTGGCACGATTCACTCTCACGGTGAATGTGTCCGCAGACTGAAACCTTATTCGCATAGTTTTTTTCTGGAAGTCTCATTGAAAACCAGTAAGCTACACTTTTGTGTCGGGGTGAAGTCTGTTATTTCTTCATATTTATTTATTGAAAAAAAAATCCATTCCATTCGTCTATTTTTTTTAAGTCGTCCTCTTTCTGCCAGCCCCCGGAGGGACCCCCGGGGGGACCGTGAGTGCCCGCGGACGGTAGCGGCTCTGGGATGTGTCCCAGGTCTGAGCACCGCCCTCAGACCGCTGCCTGACGCATTTCTCACAGCAAACCTCGTCTCTCCTGGAAGGACGGATAGTTTTACGTTTACATACGAGGTAAGTTCCTTTTTTCCCCTTCCCTTTGACTATGTTTTTTTTTTCTCATTAATTTTTATTTCTTATCATGGCCCTAATTGCCTGACGCTTGTCTTGGCCGGTGCGACTCCTGGGCACCTGACAGAGGGTTTTTTTGAGCTGTTGTGAAAACATGTGCTCCGGTTACCACTCTGACGAGATTAGACGTGACTGTGGAACAGTCTCAGACTTTATGAGTGATATATATCATTTCGTAACGTAGCCGGCGATAAAGTCACTGTAAATCTGCCCCGGTCGTAACTTTTGGAGCTTTTGTGTGAGTGTTTTTTATTTTGGTTGTGGGGTTTGGGGGGGTTATATGGAGCCAGATGACTGACGGCTGTTCAACTTTAGACCGTTTCCAAAGACCTGTCTGAACTAGTGCCAACAATCCAGCTGTTATCGCTGAGTCCTGGAGGCAGACATCTATAGGCTTGTCTGTGCTCCTTGATAACACAACTTTTATCACCACTTGCGCAAACTGTTTCTCTTTTTTTTTCTGTTTTGTACTCCTGGTTTGTATTGAGCTGCTTGTCAAACACGCCTCAGATGAGATCAATGTATAACTGACAGATTTTCTATAGGCTGAGTTAAAATGAGTTGAAGGCAGCAGAGTAGAAACTGATTTTAAAAAAAAATCTGTTCTTTTGAGTCTTTCTCACTCACTCCACCTGTTCTGCCGCCCAGAGCCTGTAAATAGTTTCAATGGCTTGTTGTGACACACACTCCCTGATAAGGAAAGGTGGGGTGTGGACACACAGTCCTGGCAGGTTACTGAATGAAGCTGAGACACGGGCACCTCTGATGTCCTCTCCTCTGACATCTTAGCTGCTGATCACACATGCAGCTGGACCTCAGATAAACCAATCTGTGCGTCTCTCTCTGCTGTGGGTTTCGACACACGGCATGAGCAGCCGGTCTAGTTGTGATTCACGTGGCTTGCAGGATGATGCGTCATGATTCCCACACATGTTTATTGTTGGTCTCGGGGCTCCAGTAGTGGCGGCTCTCCTTCCCCACGTTTTTTTCTGTGAGCAATCGTTTCCTGTGTGTTTCCAAAAGCAGCGAGGATGCGCCGCACCTTTTCCCATCAAACTGCAAGAATCCGCTGTCATAAACAAGTGGTCCTGCCAGTGAATCCTTAAACAGAGTCAGAGCACACACTCTGGTCCAGACAGTGACCCAATATGTAATTCATACAGGAGAGATTAATGATCGCTTACTGCATCAACATTTAACCATATTACTCCTCCTGCTGGAATTTCCCTGCTCTGACTTCTGTCTTTTTTTATTTGAACCATTTCTGAACTATGAGGACTCTGTTGGACAAAGTAAGAATACAATCAAATTGTGGTGGATCCCCCCCCTCCCAAGTAAAATAGTGCAAAAGGCAGCATTTGAAATGTTTAGTGAGATGTTTTCCATCTTAGGAGAATCATTTTTGTAGATCTGAAACATAGATTCAGACTTCAGAGCCCGCTTTGCCTCATATTCAGTTTTTTGTGCTACTCTAAGTTCAGTTTGTAGATGCAGCAATGACCAGAGTTTTGCTCAGTCAGCATGGCGATCATCAATACTCTGGCTGGATATAGCATCCCAGCCTTGGCCCATGCATGCACAGAGATTTCAGATTTTAATTTGTTTTAAAAAAGCTAAACTGATTATTCAGTCAGTTTCTTTCAACAGTCTGATTTCAGCCTGCGAAGCTTCCCAACTGTGGAAAAATGCCCCTGAAGTATTCAGATATGAAGGAGTGGAGATGCAGTGCTGCCCTGCTTAGCTCTGGTCATCTAATGTCTGAAGGAGATGATCTGCTATGAAAAGTCTTTATGAATAGGCTGTAACCTGTCCAGGGTGTCCCCCTCCTCTTGCCCAGTGGCAGGTGAAACAGGCTCCAGCCCACACTTGAACTAAGCGGCTATAGCAGATCAATGGATGGAAGAACTATAGGCGGTCCTTTTCTGTCATAGTGCTGCTGATCTTTTGGCAAACTTTTAAAAAAGTGTATGCGTTACATCAAATAAGAATATGCTAACATATATGCATAATCTCAGTATTTAACTCTAATTACTTAAGATTTTTACAAAATGTCTTTGCCAGCCTTTCAGTTTTATGATTAAAAGCTTAACTGAGCAGGTTCGTTCTTCCAAATGAGGGCCAGCATGTGTTGAACGGCATGTAAATTGTGAATGTGATACTGATACTCCTTGTCTTTTTAATATGACTACAGATTTCTAAGTATTCCAGACTCTTGATACTGTAAATCTGAACTGCGTTTGTCGCCAGCCATGAAAACAAGGCTTTCATAACAGTGGATGACACATGGGTGAGTCACCTGAGGGATCATGATTGCTTCAGCCTTTAAGCTCTCTTTCTGTGGTAATGTTAGACAATAGGTCTTAGATTCGGAGGGAAGTATAATGAACCCCTCAAGAAATTTTAGCCAACAACTCAATGAACGTCCTGTATATCCAGCCAAAGGGGTTACTGATTAGTCCATGTGAGTGCCAAAGCCTGGACTCACTATAGCCAGGGAAGTGTTGTAAACTTTCTCCTTCCTCTCTGCAATTCGTTTCCTTCCTTGTTCCACAGAGCACAGAGCTCATGCATCCAGGCTTGAGAACACAAAAAGAGATAGGAACGCAGAGAGATAGGTGGGGCCTGGCACTTTGCAGGGTTGAATGGTCTGTTTAAAACAATGTTTAAATAGGATTTTGAATTCTTAGCAAAAAAAAAAGGCATTTCTGCTTCAGTATTGATAAAAACGAGCAATGAAATTCTCTGCAGGCTGTGCCGTTTGAGCATTTGTCATTTAAAAAACTGCTGAGATGGAGTCGTTGAAGGGGGCACAAAGGGACAGGATGTACTTAACAGGTTCCCTCTGTCAGAGGCGGGTGCACATAGGAAAAAGGCCTCAAATATTTCTTAGCTGTAAAAACCGCTCGAAAACCGCCCTCTTCTGAGCTTTGATCTGGACAGGAAGCCGGGCACACTCTGCAGGAAGAGTCTGGACACGAGGTGACTCGGGGAGCTGTGTGTTACATCACCCTGGCATGACTCGTTTGTTCCCAGAAGAGGCCAGATGTTACAGCAAATGGCCAAGTGTCCTAATCGTCGTTTTTTTTTTAAAGGCTTTGTGAGAAAATCTTCAAAAAAAGATGAAGGCAGGTGAACAGGAACTCTTGTTTGGCGGTGGCTGAGCCGTCTGCAGATTCTCGCCACGCTCATATATTTTCAGGTCATGTGTTGTTGTCTTCCGCAACATGACACTTTTCTATTCTGAGCTTGGCGTTACTGATTGTTGGCTCACACAACGTGCTATTCCTGACGGGCAGAAACACGGCTAAACCTTTGCTCGTGCCTTTCGCTGCTGTGGATGAATGACAGACACTTTGGTCTTTAACCCTCTGTCTGTCACGTCCGAGTTGTGCTTTTCGTTTCTTTTCTTCCTTCTTTCTGCAGGCATCCGTGCTGGACATGCTCAGAGGCTTTTATGAGCCTGGTTTGGGTCACTAAAACCCAGCACCCAGCTACATTTAATACATGGAAATGTGTGTCTGCTGTGGCTCTGCAGGTGTGACTGTGTACTAGATAAATCATTTATTTTTTCCGGGGATTTGTGTGGTGAGCACACCTTGTGGGTCCAGAGACAATGAGCTCTACATGCCGGTACCAGCTTCCCCCTCTGACTAACAGTTGCTGTTACCTGTAAGCGAGCTGCATTGTTCGTGACACTTCTTCTTTTGTTTTGGCGCCGCTGTCCGGACATGCAGTCAGATTTCGGAGGGCTGAGATAGCACCGTGAGGCTCTGGGGCCTGGTGGAGGGCAGAGCCCCCGGGCTGGAAAGTGCACGAGCACGATGTTTTCTGAGGCACTCTGCCTGCTTATCAGGCCTGCAGAGGGTTCCTTCCTGGTTTTCTTCAGTCCAGTTTGTAATTACGGTCGCTGGCTGGCTGCGCTACAGTATGTGAAATTCCCAGCACTCCCAATGTTTTCCTTGTGTTGTCAGGTTTCTATTGTGTTCTTATAGCCTGGAGCTATGCGCTCTGTGGAAACAAATGGAAAAACTGCATCGGGCTGATATTCGGCTCCGTGTCTTCACAGTTGTGTCGGTGCCAGACTCGACGTGATGTTTTTAATCAAGTTCTTTCTGACAGTCGGCCCCTTTTGAGGTCCTGCAAAGGGCATTTTTATGACAGCAATTAATCTGGCCTGTCTCTCTCTATTCACTGATATGCTATATTGTATTGTAAACTAACTGAGAACACAAATCTCCTCATATTTTTAGATATGAACCGACATTTATGGGATAACTGATCCATGAATATAACTTTGAAGAATGTTGGTTTGCCTTACAGCAAAAATGACCAAAAACAAAATCTTTGAAATTCTTACTTTTAAAGAGGAACAAACACTTCATTGAAATGAGTACTTTGGTCACTGTAATTGTTGATATTTAAAGAGAAAAAGAAACCTTAGAATAAAGTCACAAATAGGGGAAAAAAGAGAAAGATTTACCAATGCCAGAACTGCTACAACAGACTGTGAGAAACACAACACTGTAAAGTGATCAAATTCAAAGACTGGCATAATTGAAAACAACACTCTGCACAGACAAACTTAGCCTGGGCTCTGCTAAACCCCAATATAGCCCCAGCAACAGAAGTTAGGGCTGAGCGACATGTTACAGTATTAAGACAAACACAGACACTGTGACTGGATTTACTGGAATGGCACTTGAAAGATTTCAGATTTATGGGTAACCAAATCAGCTTGATGCTGAGGGCCATAGACGGATATACTGCTAAAAAAAAGAAGATGAAACGGTAATATCTTTTCCACTAATGTAAGAGAATATATGTGCTTGTAAAAGCATGCATGTTTTTTCACCCGAGGTGTACTGTAACAGGTACATTTCTTACATTCCTAACATTCCTCCTTTATCAAGCTAGAAACTGATAGCTTGCTATGTCTCCCACATACACATTGGGTTGAACATCCTTTGGCTCACAGCAGCACGATATGCAAAGCCCTCACCCTGTGGGTGGTGTGTGACAGGACTAATAGAAAAGATTAAAAATACATGTAAAATATTGTAAAAAGTATCAATGGCCAGTAGTAGTTGAATTGTATAACACAGTGACCAAAAGTTCTGGCGCTTCGTCCCCAATGAATTCCTCATTCTGCTGTGAAATAAATGACTGACCATTAGTTCCTCAATCAGCTGCAGCTGTTTTCACTTCATCAGATCATTTTCTAAACGGACAGGAAACGTAAACCTGCGCACTGTGAAACTCTCTGATCCCCTTAAGCATTATGTGCTCCAGTTGTGGCCTGTGTATGTGTGCGTGTGTGTGTGTGTGTATTTTTTCCGCTCACTCTGTCATTAGTTATATTTTTAAAGCCGCTCTGTGGGTTCCTTCTGTCTGCCCACAAGTGACTTTCCACTCTGTCAGGCCGGGACGGTGAAGTCATGGGCCTGTGTCAGAGACGATGCAGTTCCAGCGCTGAGCATCGTCTTGGCTAGGAAGACAATAAAGCGGTACCGTTTCATTCCTTCTCGCAGGCTCGCTCCGCAGATGGTTCCAATAATCGCGGCTCTTTCACCACTTTGCTTGGACCGAAAGCGAAAAAGCATAAGTGCAGTCAGCATGTCTTTATTTGAACTTTCCAACTAAAAGCATGAGAGCATATTGAAACGCGTCCAGGGGCTCAAATGATATCAGTGTAAAATAAATTACCATTGGCTATTCTTGGATGAGCTCATGAAAATGGGAATCTGCTCTTTTAAATGAGGTTTTGGACCAAAAGTGCACAGTATATCTCATTCCGCTTCTCTTTTGATAAACTTGATTATCAAATCAATTGCTCACAGAGAGTCATTCTGAAAGATTGTCTGACGTAAACAATGCAGTTTTCTCACCGATGTGCTCCTTTTGGGGTGAAATAGCCAAGCTCCTGTGTCAAATGTCACGCCACCCTGTCACAGACGCTAATCACTCAGTGACGACCTGTTCGTCTTTCCAAGAATGTGTGCCCACCTGATGCTGATGGAGCACCTCAGAGGTCGGACGTACGCCGCTAAGGCATCCGCAGGGTCCGCCCACAGCCCGGTCCAGAGGTGTCCACGCTTTGACCTTAGCAGGCCGACCTGCGGAGGACTGGGTGGTCCTCCCGCCGTGGCTCCCGCCGTGTCTCTAGCCGTGCACTGAAATGTGCAGCTGCATCAAAACAGGATGCAAACACACGGACAAACAGGATTCTGTCCAAATCGAGATGCTAATTTTAGCCTCTGGACGAATGTTGCGGCTGAAGCAGGACAGAAGACCCCACGGCGTTACAGTGTGTGACTCATGACTGAATGGACCGTTGATGAAGTGAGCGTGTGTGTTGCATTGACGGCTGTTTGTCTCTTCCTTTGTAAAGCTGTGGGAGGACCGTCTCACGCCACACACGTCTCCCCCTGTGGCTGTGACAGTTCAAGTGGATAACTTCTGGTTGGTGTTCGGCTCCCGCGCAGTTACTCTGACCTCTCCTCTAACGTGCCTATCCCACTCTGCGGGACTTTAGAATATCAAAGGCATGCTTCCCCCCAAAACTCACGGAAGCCGTGGCCTCCACCCAAGTGAGCCGACACATGGCCGATGCAGAAAATTTCCACATTTTGCTTTGATGTGAGGTTCTGGCACAGCTTCTCAAAGCGTTTGATGGTTGGTTGGAGTAAAGAGAGAGCTAAAGTGTATTTTATGCTGTCAGTCCGGCTCTATTCTGACGGGAGTGTGTGTTTTAGTAAGCACAGTTCTCACGCAGACGTGCACGTCTGCGCGCTGTGCGCTCAGATCTCAGTACAACGTGTGCCATCAAACATAATCATGGGTCAGTCTGTGTTAGTCCGCGTTTGCAAGATATTTAGAATCCTAAAATTTGGTTTTCAGGTGACAAAAACTTTCATTTTTCACTCTTGTTGAGTTGAATACCGGTAAAAAAAAAAAAAAAGCTCATTGAAACAAAGTGTTCCAAAAACATTTTTGAAGAGCACGGCATGCATAGTAGTTATCTGCTATCTGCGGTAGTTATCTGCTAACCTGGAGAATTTCAAAGGAAACACAACTCCTCAAATGAAGAACATATGAGTGTGTACCAAGGGCAAAAACAGCTCCCAAATGCCTTTCAGTTCAAATTGATGTTTTTAGATTATATTTGTTACTCAGCCCTTAAGCCAAGATAGCCAAATATAGCAGTGAGATATAAATTAAGACGAAGGTTTCCACAAAAGCATGTTCTGTCTGTTAAGGCCGTTTTTGACTTTAAGAAAGTGAAGAAAAATGGTCAAACTGAATGTCTCTGATAAAAGTTTGGATTCTTCACCACGCCACACGCCTTCAGGTTATTCTGTAATCGCTTCCCCAAAGGGTACACTCGAAGATGCAGTTTTACAGGAGGTCACATTCATTCTTTGTAAAAGTAGGTTGTAATCCTCACAATCTGTTCGCCTAGTGAATGCTGCGTGAAACTGAAGCCGTTTCGGTTTTGGCGGGACGGCCACCGAACTTTGAAGCTGTTCTACCGCCTGGCTCTTTTTTGGACCAGCGGGTATGATGCAAAACCACAAACGTCTCAGCTCATGGCACATCGAGACACAGGCTGTGACTAAACCCAGCGGCTGCCCGGTGTTGACAGACAGCATCACTCTGCTTTAGTGCCTCATTTCCTCTCTCATATGTATCTCGCTGCTTTGTCTATACTTGAACTCTTCTTACGCAGTGATATGGGTTAAGGCTTTCTCAATGCCTCTCCTTGCTAAGACTCTGGGTTGGGAGGAATTTTCCTAATCCTCTACTGATGTAAAGTAGATAAATGACATCATCCTGATCTATAATCCATTTAGGTGTATTTAAACAATGTAATGAATCCTGCAGAGTTTTTATCAGGTTAAAAGTCAAATGTGGGGGGAAAAAACGTGAGCCGTTCAAAGCCATCTGTTGGAGTCTTTGCCATGAGATGACATCAGACCCTTTTGTGTCTTTCCTCAGCAGACTGGGCATGACGGTGCGGGCCAAGCCGAGGGTGTAGCCACATCTGGCAGAGAGCGCTAAAGCGAGCAGGAGCCTCAGTACTCCAGACCTTCCACTGCAGCGGGGAAGATGGGAGAGACCGAGGAGGAGAGGGACAATGGGGGGAAGCTTTTCGAGAACTTCATGCAGGCCTCGACCTGCAAAGGAGCCCTCCAGGCCTTCGGGGTCCTCTGCAGACGGCTGGACCTTGACCCCGCCGACCACAACACTTTCTACAGCAGCCTGAAGGCAAAGGTCACGTCGTGGAAGGCCAAGGCCCTGTGGAGCAAGCTGGACAAGAGGATTTCTCATAAGGAGTACAGGAAAGGCCAAGCCTGCATAGGCACCAAGGTAAATATATCATATCTCTGGGGCTAGATTTACAAGGTGCAAGCAGTGTTAACAGGATGTAAGTAGAAGCACTTTTGAGCTATTTTGCTTGATTTGCCAAATAACTGTATACTTTTTGAATATATAAAAAACAAGATAACTTCTAACTCAAAAGTGCAGAAATGTTTTATGAAAGGTGAATAGAAACCAAACTATGAGCTAAATACTATTATATGACTAAAAACCTCTAAAAACTATTTTAACGAACAGCTAAACTTGCTTACACATGGTTCATTTTCCAGTCAACGTATTACATTTTAAAAACAGGGATGTATGGAATACGATCCCAACATTTCAAAAAGAGGGGAGGCAGCATGCAGAGTCTACATGCATTTGTTTTGTTCCGAATGGATATCACAGCAAAACAGCCGGTAGCTTTTTCTAAAAGTTCCATTTTTCAGCTTGACCGTAAGAGCCGTGCCGTCACCACAGTTACCTCTCTCCTTTGTATGTACAACAAACTATGCCACTTGATGACATTTATGGTGCTGAGAGATGATGGTGTTCACCTGCAGCACAGCGTTGGCTGGGTCGTGTTCCAGGAGTGGGAGGGGGGGAGGATGGCGTCAGGGCCATCAGACAATAGTCTTTTTGCATTTCCACTTGACACTCGAATGTGAAAACAAAGATTTTCAAACGCTGTTTGGTCAGAGTTATAGTAATCGACATGAGATAATTGCTATGTAAATGCTGTTACAGATGTGTAAGCATTGATGTCTAAAGACTCATAACAGGCCGGGTGGTCCTTCTACAAAGGATGATGCAGCTCTCCAAAAAGATTTTAGACTTTCATCATCAGATTTCCAGTTGGCCTCATTTTAATGGTGCTCGGAGACTTTTGATTCCAAACTCACAAACTGAATTCAAGGTTATACTGTTTTCATTGTCTGAACTTTTGTTATTTTTCTTCTTTTATTATTGTTCTGGCCCTTTTCCAAAGCATTCGATGCATTCTTTTGTTTCCTGCTGTGAGCTGATGGCTTAGGGGTAGAAAAAAATGCGTGGGCAGTCTGGACCGTTCGCTCGCTGGCTGTCTCCACATTTCCTGTCCACGTCTCGGCTCCACCTGCGCAATAAAGAGGAAAATTCAAAGGGTAATTGTCTGTAAACGATCGCTTTATTTGCTGCCCTGTAGGCAGGCATAGTTTTCTTTTGGGTCTTGTATGAAAGTCCATCTTTGGTCATGGATTTACAGAGATGCCTTTTAATGTGTACTGAATGTGTAATAATTACGTAATTGGTCATTAAGTTTCTCTGTGGAGTCTGGAGCCAACTGTGTGATCACAGTTTTCTTTTTCTTTTTTTCCTTTTTCTTTTTTTGGATGATTCAAGAAATTACATCATCTTTTTTTCCATTCAGTTTGACAAAATGCCCCAACTGAGCATCCAGTTCATCAGCCAGCTCTCCAAACAATTGGTTTATCTTTAAAAGGAGAGCATTGCTAGATACTTCATCTAAAAAACGAGGAAAGCAAAGCTGACCGAAAGTGTTTGGTCCCTCAGAGTTCCCAGCCTTAAAGTGTGTGTGTGCTCACGTGTGCTTCACACCTAGTTTAAGTTTTAAGACTGAGGAAGTGTTTTTATAACTTGACCTCATGTGGTTCCATTTTTTTCTTTTTTTAAACAAGCGACACCCAGTTGAAACGAACATCTTTGTGTCTCAGCTAAATCAGATTAGACTCAGAACAAACCCTGAATACAACTTGTTCACATATGTCCTAAAAAATAAAATGATAGATTGTGACTTTGTTTTTCATACTCAGTCTAAGGATAAACTAGAGGAGATGCACTTATTTCAGCTAGTTCTAAAATTAAGTTTAGGAATGTGATGGCAAGCAAGCATTAGTGGTGATATTTTTGTTTTTTAAATGACCCTTTTACAACTAAGTTTAACCCCAACTATCGGTAAAAAAGTCATGGATTGTGGTTGTTGTTTATCCAGAGAAATGCAAAGAAAAAATATTTTCCCGTCCTTTTTTCTAAGTGTAGATATGAAAAGGTCAATAACTTCCATGTGTTTGAGCCCTGTGCACATCCACAAAGAGAGCTGTTTCTGAAATAAAAGGGTGTTTTGTGTCTGAGTTGGTGTATAAGGGTCCTGTGTGTGCACGTGTGGGGGCAGTAAAGGTGACGAGGGAGATTGGGAAGACCTGGAGGAGCGTGATTACTTTTCATCCGTCAGCTGCTCCCAGCTTGAGAGAGAGTGTTTCCATAGCGCTGAGAGAGAGGGAGCGCACATCACTCAGCAGCCATAATTATGTGGCTGCAGTCATACTGAATGTACTCAACGTTCTTTATAGAATTCTCCTGAAAGGTTGGAGTCTGTCCCAGGTTATTATTAAAAACATGTTCTGAATGCTCCGCTTTGGGCATAAGTCTGATTTCAGCTTAAATCTCAATGGGCAATAAGCAGATGGAGAGGAAAACAAGATTCTGAGATTTAGTAATTGTGAAGTTAACGAAGATTTGCTGGAAAAATTAAACGAGTGGATAGCTCGTCTTAATTACAAAGCGTGACATTTTTATTGCAGGCAGTCTACTACTACGTCATGTCTGGGGGGGGGGGGGGTGCAGATGTGATATCACTCAGCGCCTCTTCCTCAAAATTGCTGCTTAAGCAAAAACTTTTTAAGGGGAGTGATGTCATCTGCGTTTTATGGCCTAACATTGCAAGCGGCAGGGGCACGTTGTTATGGCGTGTGTATCGTAAACAGTAATCCCGCACAACAAAATGGACTTCTTAATTCCAAACATGTTGCAATTCATTTTCACTGCGCCTTGTCAGATCCCAGACAGTGAGCTCTTAATCATGACACTGCCATCGCAATTTCACATAAAATGTCTTTTTTTTTTAATGGGGTCCCTGCTTCTTCTTTAACGTAAAATGCTTCGTTTAGTTCCCTGCATTTCTTTACTATTACCAGCATCTGTAGATAAGAGGAACATTGTGAAGCCATCCTCCGGTCTGCGTTTCACATCACCTTTTTTCACATAAAAAAAGGTGGCCCACTCAGGAAATGCTGCCAAAGGTTACAAACTCTGCGGGGTAACTTTTGATACCTATACAAGCTGACTTCCATTACATCATATTTTTTCCCAAATCTGAATGCTTTACCTTCCCTTGTGACTATACAGTCTTCGAACGTATGCGCTCCTTCTGGGGGCTTTAATTTTGCCAAATGACAGTGACTTGGCTCCACCATTACCCACAGAATTGGTTTGGTGTGGGTTTAGAATTTAAACACCAATCAAGTTTGATGTAGAGCAGATGAACTTCCAGGATCCTCAAAACTCTCTTTACATTATTCTAGTTTTTACAATACTAGGCTCATAGGTAAAAAAGACTGAGAAAGATTGAGATTACTAAATCATCTAACTTTTTTTTGGGAGAAAGAAACGAATATGAAAAAAGTTACAGGAAGTTGCAACTGTATATTTTTTTTTTCAACCAATAACTGATCAATATTAAAACATTTTGTGTTAAGCTAATAGTTTAATATAAATTAAGCAGATTTTAGGCTGGGTTTTTCATGAGGATGGGAGACAAATGTTAGGATGAGGTTGAGCTGGGAGTAGAAAGGGGTCACAGGTGGGAAGCTGAAAGGAAATGTGAGTCCTGACTCAGCTGATGCAGCACAAGCCCTCAGGAAAGCCTCACATGTGCAACAATACATCGGTGAATGGAAAGTGCTAAAACAAACAGAAGAACAAAGGTCTCTGCTGGTGGCGGTCGGACGCGTCAAAACAGGGAGATGAGTGAAAAAGATCAAATGTGCACACCGAGAATCTACATCTGAACACACTGGGTTAGCTTATTTAGTGTGCATAAACATATTATCCTCATTTTTGTGTGGTAAGCCGGTACACAAAGGGCTGCTTTGTAAGCCAAAACAACGGGTAGGAGCACGCGGCCTTGTCGAGGCACACACCCACCACCTGTGTGTGTGTGTGTGTGTGTGCATTCACACCTGAGGACACACCGTCTTTGTGATGTGGTGATGAGCTACCGCGTTTCTCCACTCACAGGAAGACCGGGGCCAGAATCCCACCATGCGTGTGGGCCCCTTCAGCGGGGGTGGCACAACACACCGCAACAACATGAAAACACGACAACACGGAGAGAAAAACTCCCCAAATCTTTCTGACCAAGGCAGAACATTCTGTGAGGTTTCTGAGACAGCCCACCTTGCTGAGTACAGTAGGAGTGAGGTTTGGCTCTGGACTGAATTACGAGAACACACAAAAACACACACACAGAGACACATTCTTTCTACACTTTAAAAAAAAAATGCATACTGCGTCTTAACATGTTCAAAGAAGGGGTAAAGAGTCAATGATGTTATGCTCAAACCGCACAAGCTGAGACAGACGTTCCAACCTCCCTGAGCTGACTTCATGCGTTTTTTTTGGCGAGGCTGGTGCATGAATAACACCTCAGATATGTTAAGGTTTTTACCGCACGTCCCGTGGGGCCGTTTGGTAATGAAGGCAATGAGTCAATGATGTTCAAACTCTTTACATCTCGTGAAATGTTTTCTCCGACGGCACACACGTCAGGTGGTCCGAGGAAGTCATCCTCAGAGTGGAACGACTCTCAGAGTTTATCCTGCTGAAGTGCCCTTGAGTCAGACACTCCAAAGCCTCGAAATGCTTCAGTGGAGCAGTAAAGCGGTGTTTCCCTCGTGATCTATGGAGATGTTTTTACGCTGGGGGCATGTTATAAACAATGGAGATATAAGCCGCTTGTCATGTCAGCGTCTGCAGCCTCGTGCCGATCAAATGGCCGAGGCACTACCATGATTTAGTGTTTATAATGATGTCAGTTTGTTGTTGTCCTTTGCTCAGTGCCTCATCATCGGAGGAGGTCCCTGCGGCCTGCGGACCGCCATCGAGCTCGCCTTGATGGGTGCCAAAGTGGTGGTCATAGAGAAGAGGGACTCTTTTTCGAGGAACAACGTGCTTCATCTTTGGCCCTACACCATCCATGACCTGCGGGGCCTCGGGGCCAAAAAGTTTTATGGAAAATTCTGTGCCGGAGCCATAAACCACATCAGTGAGTATCCCACTTTAAACAAGCCTAGCAGACTTGACATAACAATCATTTGCAATGCTGGTATCCCTGTCTTTTTGTTCCTGCGATGAGTTCGAAGTCATAGGCCAGAGACCTGGTAAAGGGAGATTTCCGCTTTTATGCATACATATGAAGTTTAGATACTGCACTTCAACGACAGCCGCCATTTTCCATGAGCTCCTGGTTAGACTTGCTGTGTGAATGTATGTGAACATGGCTGCGTGTCTGCTTGTAACAGGCATCCAGCAGCTGCAGCTGATCCTCCTGAAAGTGGCCCTGATGGTCGCCGTGGAGTTTCACATCAACGTGGAGTTCGTCAGGCTGCTGGAGCCGCCGCAGGATCAGGAAAACGAAGGTATCGTCCCCCGCATTTAAACAGGTGGCTGGTAGCGCGTTTACACGCACCCACTGACAGCTGGATCGCCATCTGAGGATTGTGGGGGGGGGGGAGCGAAACAGCTGGAAACCACACAGCTGTGACTTTTTGTGGGATTAGAAAGAGTCGAATGTGATTTTGGGCCGACGCCGCACGGCTTCCAGGAGGATCTGTGTTTGACCTCCCACTCTGCTTAAGCTTAGTTAATCAGCGGTAAACTTATCCTACTGTATTAATTTCCCTGACAGTGGCCTGTAAACACGAGGAAAACACTGGCCCTGATCGTGTTTTTATTATGTAAATGATACTTTACTTTTGTGCCCCATAAGAGATATTGCTCAAATGTAAACCAGCTATGTGCGCCACCCACTTAATCGTGACACAAAAAGGCTGAGCACTTTAAAACAAGGGGGCATTTGCTGCCTCAGTCCAGCTCAGAGCAGCCTGTCATGAAGACACACACACAGAGTGCGTGACCCTCTGTGTGTCTTTGTGTGTGTGTGTGTCTTTGTGTGTGTGTGAGAGACGCTGGCCAGAACATCACAGGCTCAGCTCACTTCAGCTCTAATATCGATACACTGATAACAACAAGAGGCACTCCTATTTTTAGGCACAGATTTTATCCCTCCCGTTGTGCTCTGACGGACTTAGCTGCACCCTTGACTTGATAGAGTGCGTTTTCCACACGGTGATACTACAGCACACACTGCCCTGCTGATCTCACCACCGTCCTGCCTTAAAATGGTGAATACGAAAGACGGAAAGAAGACAATGAAGACACTTTGTTAGTTGTATAACATCCCTCTGTGTGTGTAAAACCGCTGTTAAAAGCAGCCACGCTCCATTCATCTCGACTCGAACCAATTTGAAATGGCACAAGTGTGGCTGAGTGGTCCACCAAGTGCCTGAGGGGAAAAATAAAATCCTTATCATGTGATACTTCTCATGCTTTGCTGCTGGTTCTGTGGAGGAGTGCGGCCCGAGGGGAGCGTTCCTTTCGTTTGTGTACAGTATATGTGGTTTTGTTTTTCTAGGCCGTTTCTCTATGTCTTCCAGGGGTTGGGTGGAGGGCTGCAATCCGACCTGCTGATCACCCTGTGGCTCAGTTTGACTTCGACGTGGTGGTGGGGGCCGACGGGCGCAGGAACACTCTGGAAGGTGAGAAGACGGGGAACAAAAGACCCTACCGGGATGGGATGCCCGAAGGATGTTCTGTACTTTTAAATCTTACAACAGTGTGACGACCAAGGTTCACAGAGGGTGCCACTCCCAGATTGTTTGGCATGTTAATTACTATTCAGAAACTAGGAAGTAAGAACAGATGGCATGCAGTTGACATCGCTGAAGAGACTTTTAAAATCAACAAAACTGGGCAATTTATATGTCGCTTCCCAAATTTGTATGCTCATTAGAAACACACCGGACAAAATCTCCAAGGAAACATGTTCAAACTGGGACACGTTTGATGCAAATTCCAATTGATAGAAAAAATAAATAGAAGATTTAAATCAAATCAATGAATTTCAAACACGTCATTTGAAGCCCATGTTTATTTATTTCACTTGTGTGGCTTTAAAGCTGAAAGAATAAAGTCATTGATATCTCCCAAAGGGGGGAGCTTATGAAACTGCTGACTGCTGGACATAAATAGCACAGCACCAGGGTTCGGTTCAGCCGGTGATGCATTCACGTTGGACCGGCTCCAGCTCTCTAACTGTTTTCAGAGTTTGTCTTAGAGATGCTGTCATCGAACAACCAATTGAAATCAAATGCTTATTCCTTAAAAGGGCATTTTGGGGCAGAACAAGCCGTTTAGCTCATTCCCCAATAATGAGAATAAGAAGCCCGAGGGAAATGATTTCCCCTTTGTACTCGTGTGCTGCTTAGCATTGCTAGCAGTTAAATGCAGTCGCATCGGTTAGTTGCTGCTACATTTTTGGAAAGAGTAATTAGGTAAAATAAGTGACATAATGGACATGTTGTGATTGCTTAGAGCCTCGGTTCTGTCTTTTTTCTTCCCCATAGAACTATTTTCTTCTTGTGAGAATGAAATCCCTATATAACTCTGTTGTTTTCTCTGGTTCCGCAATGGCCCATTCCTCAGTAAGTCATTTGTTATCTTTATTGAAAAGTTGTAAATGTATCGGTAAACTTATGACTCAGCTATTTGATGTTCTTATTTTTATGGGGGCATTGAAAATTAACACTCATAGAAACTTCAAGCAGTTCCTCAAAGTTGAAGTAACTGTCAAACGGTGTGAAGATTTTACACGTGGATCTTTATGGCTTTTGGGTCCTGAAAGCTAATTAAGTATAACATGATCCATTTTGATGATAGATTTGATTAATTAACTCCTTCAGCGTCTGACAATACATGACTTTTTTCTTCTCTTGGCTAAGCTACCTTTTATCCCGAAATGGCTGCCTTGTAATTATAGTATAAAGCTAGATTTCCTTTGGTTTAACAGAAAAGCTGCCGGTTTGTTGGGGAAGGTCCACATTCCCACTCCATTCTTTCTCCCTCTGTGTCTCTTTTTCTCACAGGTTTCAAAAGGAAAGAGTTCAGAGGTAAACTGGCAATCGCCATCACAGCTAACTTCATCAACAGTAACACCACAGCTGAGGCCAAAGTGGAGGAGATTAGCGGAGTGGCCTTCATCTTCAACCAGAAGTTCTTTCTAGACCTCAAAGAGGAAACAGGTGAGCAAACATGGTTGAAACTCCATTAAAGAACAGGAAGATTCTTCACTGGACAGTAGAATCACTACTTCTACTACTTCTGTGGGCAGTTTGTGCCATTAACTTTTGGGATGTTTAATCAATCAGAGGTTTCAATTAAAATATCATACATATGAGAAACTACAAATTCAATTACTTTCGGGGACTGCTATTAAGTTTTAAAGAGACTGGATCATATTGAACGTTTTTTATCAAAAGAACAAACTTTAGCTAGTGTCCGGATCCAAAAAATAAATCCTAAGAATGAATTAAATCACCACATTAGAAATGAATTGCCACTAAGGCTGGAGACGGTTTCCTCGCTTTCCATCGCTATCCTGTGGTTCATTTTATGAGTTGTAGCAAAATAAGTGTTTCATTTCTTGCAGGTATCGATCTGGAGAACATTGTGTACTACAAGGACAACACACATTACTTTGTCATGACTGCCAAGAAGCAAAGCCTGATGGACAAAGGAGTTGTCATTCATGTAAGAAAGGCGTGTTAAGCATAGGGATCAATTGTGTCAACTGATTTATTATCGTCTAACTTTTTGTCCCATTTATTCTCTTCAGCTTTATTTGGTTTGAGTGTAAAAAAATCCCTTTGTTTGGCTTATTTTGATATAGACAGATAGTCAGTGGGCCTACTTTTGAACTTTTAGTAGTTATAAACTTTTGCCATGGACCTACTTTATCTTTTATCTAGGCCATTCATGAAAGAACAGTTTGTTATGTACAGTTGAGGCCTGGCTACATGAGGAAATGAGGTAAAGGATAAAAAAATATTACATACATTGGGCCTTTTTCCCTTGTGTGTGCGACACTGCAAAGCAGGTCAGGCAGAAATAAAACTGTCATTACAAGCAGCTGAGTGCCAACACTGTGTTTTTTCTCCTGGCGGCTTCTGTTCAAACAGGATTACATTGACACCCAGATGCTGCTGAGCAGTGAAAATGTTAACCAGGAAGCTCTTCTGAGCTACGCCCGGGAGGCTGCTGACTTTGGCACCAACTACCAACTTCCCAAGCTGGAGTTTGCCATGAACCACTACGGGCAGCCAGATGTAGCAATGTTTGATTTCACAAGCATGTACGCCTCGGAGAACGCCGCTCTGGTCAGGGAGAGATTTGGACACCAGCTGCTGGTGGCGCTGGTTGGTGACAGTCTGCTGGAGGTAAGGAAAGGCCTGACTCACTGAGTCAACTACATGATCTCTGAACGGGCACTCTGTGCCTGGGAACATTTGGATTATAAAATTCCTGTGGCCAGCTGCATCAGGATGAAGGTCAGAGACGGGAAGAGGGAGGATAAATAAATCAACCCAGTCTGAGTTGATCCAGCTTCACCCCGTACAGGGACCCATCCTGATGTTGTCGTGAGTCACAGGAAGTTGGTGCTGGTGGTTTTGAGGCACACAAAAAACGAGATGTACATGTGCATAAAGCTGAGCATTAAAGGTGGCCGCATGGGCATGTGCGGGCTGATTTGTACGCCTACACGGATATGTGATAGATCTGTGTGTGAGCAATTTACCGTCTGAAGTCAGACTTCTGGAATGTGACATTGGTAAAGTAAAACAGAAGATCCAACAGAGCGCCGAATAGGCCATAGGCTGAAGCCTGTATCGTTAAGTTTCGCTCCACTTATTGAGGGACTACTAAATGACACCTGCAAAAAAATCCTTAGGGCATTTTGAGCTCATAACCAAAAGTTCTCCAATCGCTTTGCGCCAGTATTTTTACAATAATTACTTAAAAATGTAACTATATCGGTAGCCTGATCACACCGGTAAAGTACGCTCGAATCAAGCCGCCTAGCCGTTAGCCAATCAGAGCGCGTCCTTCAGATGCGCTCTACCATTCAGAGGCGAGAACAGAAGAACAACAACAAACATGGCTGCTCCCTTGGAGCAGCGTTTTCCCGTTAATCAGACAAAAAACGCAAGAAAAATGAGGATTATATATGCATCACACACATATAATCGGTAGAAAAAGAACGGACAAAGACACTAACAGTTGTTCGTGGAAGAAGCTGGTCGTATTTGCCCGTAAGTGTATGGACGGAGTTGACCGCACGTTGGCGGAGGGACACAAGACAAAGAAAGGTAAGTTGGTCCAAGCAGAAACTATAAATACTGGTGATTAGATAATTTGCAGACAGCATCTTTGTTTGTGGCTTATAATCAAAAGCTAAAGTAATACATTTGTTGATTTAAAAAAAATGCATGTGTAATTGTTGCCAGCCCTAGCCTTCATTATGAAGTAGGTGTATGAAGGCTATGTGTAGGGCCTCAATAATAATAAAAGGCATTATTATGAACTTGAAGTGATGATAGGCAATTAATTGATTTGTCAAATAATGGTTAGATTTTAAATTTGTCACCCAACTACCAGTTCAGTCTGGTAAAAGAGAGAAAATGTATTTGATATTATTTGTTGGCAGCTGGTTTATGATTGAACTTTAACTATCTTTTTGCTAGGGAGTTTGGTTAAAGCAGCTGAAGTGAAAATGGACGAATCCATCCTCAAGGATGTACGTGGAAAAGATTGTGTCGCAATTGAAGTCCGGTAGCACAAACGGTGCTACAAAGAAAGTTAAATTCAATTCAATTTTATGTATATTGATACTAATGATAATGATAAGAGTTATGACAGAAATAGCACTATGCAGAGTAGTAGCAGAGCAGGAACACGGAGCAGCAGGAAACTCCCAACCACAGATCCAGACTCCACAGCTCTAGGAACACCTGCAGGAAGTGATAGGAGGAGACTCCTATCCCTCCTATGATTTTGATGATTCATAGTTTCTTTGTGTTTTCTATTGTAATTCTCAAGTCGTAACAACCCGAAGTGATCCTGAAAAGTTTAACATCTCAAGGCTTGCTGGGTCCAACAAAAGTAATTGTTTAAAAACAGAAATGTCTTTGTGCCTTCTTTAATTCCCTGTACATTTCCATATTAAGTCTTGCCTCAGAGGAGTGAATTCACAACCCACGGGTTAGCTGATTGAAACTATTTCATTTCTGAAAACCAATTTGAATATTTGTCCATAGTAAACTGAATTTTGTAGTAAATGTGAAAAAAAACAATCTTGTAGCTTATAAATAAGAGTTCATTTTTTAATGTTGTGCTATTAATACTTTCCATTGTTCTTATAAATAATCAATAATTATGATTATTATTTTTCCTATTGTTATGAGGCATCTGAAAACTTTACCCCTTTTCAAAATCATGTTATCATTGCTATTGCCATTTGTCAATAGTCACTGAGTGGAGATTTATAAATGGTTAGAATCGGTCTTTATAATTATATATGTACATGTATAAAATTTGGGAGATATCAACTTTGGCATGCTTAGTGCTTGGTAGAATTGTTCAAAAGTAATTGAAAAATTATATGTAGGCTTCTTATTCTCTTTCAGCTTTTCTGAAGATGATTAATTCTCTCTGTAAATATTCATAAATGTTGCAACAAACAGAAGAAGTAACTCTTGTTGGTGTGGGAATGGAGTGGTGGTGGTGGTGGGGGGGGGTTGTTACTATTATTTTTGTTATTATTTGTTCATTAATTCCATGAATGCTTAAGTTGATATCAGATCTATTGAATAAACAGTATACATTTACTTGAAGATTCTTCTAGTTTTTATTGTTATTTCCGAAAATTTTGCTTCCAATATTGTAACTGGTCTGCTACGTGATAAAATTCACACCACTTTAAATAGTTATTAATTAACCAGACACAAAGGGATATCTTTCTATTAGAGTTTTTCAATTTAAAATTCAAAGAATTGCAGTTTTCATGTGCAATAAATATATATTTTGGGAAATTGCGAAATTGTTAAAAAGTGTATGTTTTCATTTAGAATAACTCCGTACTTAAAGCACGCAGAACATTGCCGCTTTAGAAGCTCTGAGTAAGTATGAATGTCTGTGGGAATAAAAAATCTGAGTACAATCGCATTAAAAATAAAAAAGTTACAAGGGTTTGAAAATGGTAGAAGACCCAAAATCGTCACTTTTTGGGGTAAACTGCCACCTTTGGCACCCATTTTCTCAAATATTGGCAGGAATCCCATGGAGAACTTTTTTTCCCAGCTCGAGTACATATTCAAGATTGGAAAAGTGCTATCAAAAGTAGTCCCCAGGTTAGTGGAGCGAAATCCTATTTCTAGCCACATTTTGAGCTTCAGCCTATGGCCTATATTGTAACTGGTTTGCTAGGTGATAAAATTCACACCACTTTTCATAGTTATTAATTAACCAGACACAAAGGGATATCTTGCTATTAGAATTTTTCAATTGAAAATTCAAAGAATTGCAGTTTTCATGTGCAATAAAGATACATTTTGGGAGATTGTGAAGTTGTTCAAAACTGTATGTTTTCATTTAGAATAACTCCGTACTTAAAGCACGCAGAACATTGCCGCTTTAGAAGCTCTGAGTAAGTATGAATGTTTGTGGGAATAAAAAATTTGAGTACGATCGGCTTAATAATAAAAAAGTTACAAGGGTTTGAAAATGGTAGAAGACCCAAAATCGTCACTTTTTTGGGTAAACTGCCACCTTTGGCACCCATTTTCTCAAATACTGGCAGGAATCCCATGGAGAACTTTTTTTCCCAGCTCCAGTACATATTCAAGATTGGAAAAGTGCTATCGAAAAGTAGTCCCCAGGATAGTGGAGCGAAATCCTATTTCTAGCCACATTTTGAGCTTCAGCCTATGGCCTAGAAGCATGTTTTACATTCCAGACAAGTCTGAAAAACAGAAAAAAATAAGTACTGTTTTTCATGTTGTTTTTCTCTTTTTTTTAACACTGACTGTGCTTGACCTTAAATTCTTTATTGTATACGTTCCTTTTTCGATTCTCATGAAATATGTTTTTCACTCCCAGCGAGTTACTCACTCGCTGCCACATGATGTTTTTCTACTTTGTTAACTTTATTGTGCACTCCTTCTCTGTCCAAGGTTTTTATTGGAGTACTCTTCTCATGAGACACATATAAAGTTTTGTCTGTCTGTATTATATCACCTTTTTGCTTTACTTGGACAACACAACATACATTGCCATCTTATTATGTATGTATGTTTTTTTCTCTGTGTGCTCTTTTGCAGCCCTTCTGGCCGATGGGAACAGGATGTGCCAGAGGCTTCCTGGCAGCTTTCGACACGGCCTGGATGGTAAAGAGCTGGGCGGAGGGTCGGACAGTCCTGGAAGTGCTTGCAGAGAGGTAAACGTTATGTTTCGACCATACTCATCCGTCTTCATGCATTTTAACGCTGCTTGACATTGAATGCTTTGCCTTAATGGGCACTGCTCACATTAAAATGGCACCAATAACCGTGTTGCTTTTGTATTTGTGCTGTTTTAGGGAGAGTATTTACCGACTGCTACCACAAACAACCCCCGAAAACATTGCGAAAAACTTTGAGCAGTACACCATAGATCCTGCAACTCGATATCCCAACCTTAACTGCTCCTGTGTCAGGCCGCATCAGGTGAGCAGATTTTTCCCCCCCCTTTTCCTGACCAATAAGGTTTTACAAATACCTGCAGGGCTGACATTTTCCCCCGTTCCTTCATTCAGGTGCGCCATCTGTACATCAGTGGCGAGCTTCATTCCTGCTCTCTGGAGCGGGCTGCTACCATTCGCCGGCCTGTTAACCTCTGCAGGCGAGGTAAGGGGAACAGGAGCCCACTCCAAAGACTCAAAGCTCTTGACTGCTGCTGACTCTTCTCTAGATTTTTGGAGGCTCATGTTGTAGACACCGTGGCCAAATGTTTCCCTTCTGTTTCATCCTGCGATTTAAAAAAACAATAAGTCACGAGCTGAGGTTTGCTTTCACGAGTGGCTTCAAACTTTGAAAGAGAATTTGTAGAGAATGGTATTGCAATCTCAAAGTTGAGCATCCCTCCACATTCAACAGCATGATTCAAATCAAGAGGCAAAAATAACATGTTTAACTGTGTGTTGATTAAAGTGTGAGGTCACGTTGTATCCGCGCTTTTAGCTGCGATGAGCTGCTAGTCTGTTTTACTAAAGTAACATTATTCATTCAGCCAGGGGAGTGACCGAGTCCAGACAGGGACGTATACATACCTCAGCTCCCACTCCCACTATGTTTAACATCACATTCTATGTCAAGCTCTGCATCCTGTTAAAATGAAGCTTCCCGAGGGTCTACATGGCTGATTATATTCCTTTCCCTTTCTTTTCTTCTGTAGAATCTGAGATCAGACCCTCGAGGCTTCTTACCTGGTGCCAGAAACAGACAGATGGCTACAGATGTGTAACAATCACAGACTTGACGTCTTCCTGGAGAAGTGGCATGGCCCTCTGTGCCCTCATCCACAGGTTCAAACCACAGCTGATGTAGGTAACAGGCATTCGGTACCACTTTAGCCCCTCTTTTGCTGTTATTAAAGGTGCATTTTGCTTCAAAATGATTTATTATCTCTGTTTTGATCTAAAGCTAAAGGGGAAAACTCAGATCTTTTCCACTTTTAGCAGCAAGCCAGGACTGAGCGCCTGTAGATTACAGCATTTGCGAACCTAATTATATCCCCTCTCTCTTTAATTATTGCCCTTATACTTCAGCACATGCCAGTGCAATTTCATGTGGTCCTGTAAGTTTCCAGGAACTGCTGGCTTTCTCCCCCTCGCTCCGTCGTATGCAGGCCTGTCAGCGGAGCAGAGAGGGGTGCAGGTTAACGGGGAAAAAAGGAATGGCAAGCCTCTTCCTGAATAACAGTGTTTTTGTGTGTGTGTGTGTGCTGCTGCTAGGTTACTGCTCTCCTCTTTACATTAGCTCTCATGGTGTCTGCACACCATCCGTGCACAAAAAGACGTCAGAGCCCCTTTTTGCCGTGCTGCGGTGTACAAAAAACGAACTTTTAAATGCACGTCGTGGTACGCGGACAAGTTTGTGCTCTCTCATTCCATTATGATACCGTTGTCATTTTCATATCTCTGTGTAGATTACTCTCTCACACCCAGTCACCTGACAAGTTGAAACGAGAGCATGAAAGGCTCTGTCAGAAAATAATTCCCTCAAAGAGTTTCAGTTTCTTGCGGCCACATTCCTGTCTCACCCTTTTTTCTCAGTGGATATGTGGGTCATAGGTAAAAGGGTTACAGTGGTGTTCTGTGGGATTTTTGGGGGAAATGGGATCCTGAAAGAAATAGATGCATTTTGTCCACAATCGTGACAACTCTGAATACGTCACGGTGAAATATGAGGCTTGATATCCCTCAGATTCTGCGTGACTGCGTTCTAACTCAGGCTCTTTCCTTTTTCGCTGGCATCAGAGACTTTGATTCGTTGAATGAAGAGGATCATGCTGCAAACCTCCAGCTGGCTTTCGTCGTCAGCGAGCGGGAATTTGGGATTAAACCATTCACGTCTGCGAACGAGATGAGCGCTGATGTGGAGCTGGATAAGACCAAGATGACCACCTACTTGTCCAAGTTCTACGAGCTCTTCCGGGGAACGCCTCTGCCTGCATCAGGTGCACCTCTCTGTTCTCATGCTTCCCCTCCTGGCACTGACTCACTGCTCTCATTTGGTTTCAATCCATATTTTTTATTTCCCTGGAGGGTTAAGAATTTCCCCTGATGGGTCATTTAAATCAAATTTGGTTGTACAACAGCAGTCTGTATGTATAATGAGCTTTCAACTGTAGTATTTCGAGTTTCCCGGCAGCAAAAAGCTACTGGTTTGTTTTAAGAGTAACATTTTTCCTCACAATGCAGTAAGTCTTTCCCCAGACCACTCAGACAGCCCGAAAAGGAAAGTTTACATAGACGAGAAAACCCATTTAACATCATGAGCCAATTAAAGCTGTGAACGGTGGAAAAAGTTTCAACTCTGTGTTTTATTTGTTGCACTGCAGATTCCAGAAGAGTGGATGTAAACAACGAGGATTTACCCTCTAAAGAAGTCCGAAATAATATTAATTTGCTCAATCTTGCACCCCAGAGGAAACGGGTGCCAAAGGTAACTCCACTGCCGAGTGTTTGAGCCTTAACACCATAGATTTATCTGGACGTTTGTCCTATTCTTTCTGAGTAATAACTGATTATTTGAAAGGGTCATTTGTGTTTTCAGGATGATAAGAAGTCCGACAGCACAGACCCCTTCAACAAACGCAGGCGAAGGTTCTGGAATTTGGATGAGGTTTGTTAACATGAGATTTATTGATGCATCTGTAAGACAGGATTTTGATGCATTTACTGATCTTATTTATCTTCTTGCATCCTTTCAGGGCGCCATCCGTTCCAACCATGGCTCTTTAGCACAAACTGATCAGGATCCCAAAGAGAATAAAGTGCGTTCAATGGCTACTCAGCTTCAGGCCAAGTTTGAAAACAAGAACAACTTCACCGTCCACAAGCCACAGGTAGAAACACAGGTTTTATACAGGCCTGTAGATTTAGTTTTACTATCTTGTATGCATTTTTATATTGCTGGTAATGTCTTTGGTATGTCATATCTTATATATTTATCGGTTTGTATTGTTTCCTCTACTCACAAAATGGTAAAAAGGTCACCTTATGCCCAATTGTTCCTTTTAATTTGAATGAGGCTAAACTTTCCTTTTGCTGCTACAACAACAATTCTGTTTTTTCTAGCTTTCATTCTTTTCCATTTTTTTTCTGTTTCCCTGCCTTTTTAATAACATTTCTTTCCATCTTTTGCAAAGTCTCAGTCAGACTGTGTGATGTCCTTACTGCTCCCTGACCTTTACCTGACCGAGTGTCTGCCCGCTGAGCGCAGGCCTCCTGTCCCACCTAAGCCTCCTCCTGTCCCACCTAAGCCTCCTCCTCTGACACAGGTAGTCTGGAGCTGCACGGATAGTACAAACAGGGGTCAGAAAAACAACTGTCGACAGTCTGTAAAAGTTCAGGTTAAATGGAGGGATGTTTGGAAGCGTGGCCCAGAGCAAATCGAGTCCACGCTCACTCATGCACACAGATGTCATCGAAATGTTGGGCTCTCTGTGAGTTAAAAACTAGAATTTGTGGCTTGAGTTTGAATTTTTGTGGGTTTCCTGAAACGGCACAACATATCTGACATTTTTGTCCTGAGATCCCTTGCTAAGACCTTTTCAATGTGTTCATGTGCAAAGCTGTATTCCTATAGCAGGCTTCAGTTAAAGAGATGGTTGCTGTTGACTTGTTGGACTCAGATGCCAACCTTCTTGTTCTTTATCTCCTAAAGTAAATATAGTTTAAAAGGAGCATCAGTTTACATATGCCTTACCATGACAAAATTGCATAACTGAAGGAGACAGACACCTGTAATGGATTGCCATTCGGTTATTATTTTTAAAATGCTTGCATGACTAATGTCTGCCATGGGGATCGTAAATCAGTATGAAGAGCATGCAGCTCACGTTGGCATTTCTTTGTAGCTTTGTGGGATAGTTGTGAACGACAACCAGTGGCCTCAAACCTACAAAAGACACCTGTGTGATTTCTTAAATGAGAAAAAAAACAGGTTACGCTGGTTGCGGAGTTAAAGAGCTGTTATGTGTATTATCCCTTTCAGTTTGAAGTCAGTATCAGAAAAGCAGCTGAACACTTAGTCCGCCTTCCATCAAAGACTGTTCCCAAAGCCCAGCTCCAGCCTCAGCCTCAGCCCCAGCATCCATTCTCAGTAGTGAAGCTCAGACATGTTGACCAAACATTTGTTGAAGGGGAGCCTCGGCCTGAGAGTCCCGACCCCCCCGCCTCTCCTCCCTCCCACAAATCAGCAATCCATTTCATGACAAGAATCCTCCATCGCCTCAAGGAGGTGGACGAACACGTGTCTGAGGTGAACTGTTTCTCTTGCTTTTCTGTATTTTCTGTTTTCCTCTTTTTTTACGCCTTTTTCCAGACCATTTCAACTGCTACATGTTCTGATCCCCAAAAAGGCCCCTCAGTGAATGTTGATTATATATTATGTCCTAATTATACATTTTGGCTGGTGTAATGTGTAGTCGGATGAAGTCAGCCCCAAATTATCCACCCCGACAAAAATGTCTAGAGCAGGACTTCAGACTTGGTACGAGTGGAGACAGACACACACACACATGCGGATTACTGGGCAGTCTGAGTCTTTTTGGGACAAGTTGGCCGGACTGCAGGTGTAGATAAGCTGTTTTATTTATTATCACCAATCTTAATCGCCATTTTGAATGATTTATTGTTGGACTAAGTCTCTTAATGAGCAGCTGTGGGAGAAACACATTCTGATTATTTGGTTATTGACTGAATCCTGTATGCAAATTGTGCTTTAGCCGTGGCATACTTTACTGTTATTTTACCAGAATCACATCTGGCTGATATGAATCCATATTTGTTGGTTTTGAACAACAATACCGCTCTTATCATTTATGCTTGATATGTTGCTGCATATTAACCACAAATGTTCCTTAAACTTTAAAACACTTAATATTTTAGCTTAAAAAATATATTGATTATATTAAAACAAATTACTGATTGAAAAAGGAAACTTGCTGACACTAAGCGTAACACATAAGATATTTTGTTCCCAGGGCTGTGCCCTCTAAAGTATTTCACATGGTAAAGACATACATGTCATTGCTCATGGTGTTCCCTCCATTTCAACATTACTATAGTGTGAGGTTTTACAACATTCCAGGCCCCTGTGCACTTGCCAAACAAGTCATGCAAAGACATTTACATCTAGCTTTTTGTGGGGGTATGTTTGGGTATCTATGAGCTCCATGAATTGTTATTGGGATCACAACACTGAGGTGTGAAGTGTTGTTGGGTTTTTTCTTGACTCATGTTCAGTCTGTTAACATGGAATGGGTGCGTCTTACTACACAGACTGTAGCCAATCACCAGAGAGCCATTGAGATTTGTTTTGCAACTTTTGTATGTCTCCCAATCTTAACTCATCCATTTTTTTTAACCGTCGATGATGACGAGGCGTTGGCTCCACAGACACTTCAAACTCCTTTAAAATGTCAAGTGGCAACAACAGCTAGTTTGTTAATAGGTTCCCCACTTTATTACTGTGGAATGCTTCAGAAAAGCACAACTTGTGAGGCAGAGAAGGAAATTGAACATGATATTATCAATGAAACATTCTTCTTTTTCTAAAAGTGCGCTTTAGATTGTGACTGCCTCTCTCAACATACTTGACTCCGGTTTGTCTTCCAGGAGTGTGTGTCTGTCTCACATTTGTGTTCCAGCACAGTTTGAGTTACCACATCAAGTGGGGTGTGAAATTAATGTAATAAAGCAGCTTACCTTCCACACAGTGTAGCTATTGTCTTCATCTGGGCAATACGCTTTGAGATGCCTTATATTGGGGAATCTGGAGGCCTTTGATCATTTAACTGGGCCATGCTCATGAAGTGGCTATTAGTACTCCTAATTTAGCCTAGATGCAGAAAGCTCCACATGTGCTTGTGGGTGAATGCGTCTCACAGAGCTGAGGAAGCCAGACTGATGACGTTTCTTTTGTCATCCTGCAGAGAAAAGCTCACACACAACAGGTTAGAGAGTTTCATACAAAGAGCATTAAGGAAAAAGCTGTGCACCTTACGGGATTGTTCTCAGGAGACAGCTCTGATGTGCTAAAGGTGATTACCTCAAGCCGGCTCTGTGAGCCCACTCTTGTGTTGCGCACTAACTGTCCCTCACAGAGTGTTCATTTGCATGTTCAGGCATGTTATGTTTGCCTTTTAGTTGGTTTTTTATTGTTTTCATCCAGCACGTTTAAATCTACAGAATCCACAGTTTCATTTCACAGTGTTGCTTCCACTGGCAGCGCATAAAATTCTGACAGGCAACGTGCTAAAGGGAGCTTTTGAAAATAATAAAACTATTTCTGGTCACAGTTCTTTATCATAAGAGAACGATTTCAATCTAAAGCTTTTTGCTTTGCATGAGAGCTTTGCTTTAACTGTCGTCTCTGCTTCTTGTGCTTTTAATTACCAGCAGCCCTCACAGACTAAAAGTGTGTTTTTTTTGTGGTGGCACTTTGCGGGTTTCTCTGCTCCACCCAGGCACTCGGCTCCAGATGTGGGAGTTGCACTTACCCGAGTTCAGTTTGTAGCAGGATCCCATGCTTCACAGCTTTAATTCGCCCTAAATATTTGAGCAAAAGAAGATTTGGCTTATTTTCTAAGTCTTGAATATGTTTTAACACTTTTCAGAGCCATGACTCTATGGAGGAGAAAATACATCCTGCTGCCTCCCACTTTATCTGTGGGAAGTCCTAACTAAATGAAGTTGCTTTGTGACTTCTGTGGGTCATACAAGTAATGGTCAGCTGTAAGTCCTTTACCCATCTGACCAGCAGGTAAAATGTGCTGATCACTGTTGTGAAACTGCCAGAAGAGAGAATGATTATTCTTAAAGTCTCAGTTTAGCCAGAATATCCTCACAGTTGGTTAGAACCAAAGACGAGGACAAGAAATAAACCCAGTTGCTTCTATTTACTTTTGGGTTTTATCCAGTTTTGATCCTGAAGGGTAAAGTTGATGTCAAAAGATACCGTGATTCGTCCATCTTTGCTTTGAATATCATTTTACTAATATACTAAGTCTAGGTTTGATGAGAAAAGCTTTCCCAGTGGAAAAACAATTTTATTTGTGCTCGTCTATTCCGCCACACACCTTTGCTCTGATTTCATGGTGTTTTTATCTTTTTTCCCAGGGCGGTTCAGTACGAAGGGTGTTTCTCCGGTCGGGTGACACATGCCACTCATGCCAGAAGCGCGTTTACCTGGTGGAGAGGGTGTGCGCCGAGGGGCTGTACTTCCACAGAGAGTGTTTCCGTTGTTCAGCCTGCGGCTGTGCTCTGCGGCAGGGGGCGCAGGCCTTCCACTCCGAGGAGGGTGCGTGTGTCATCAAACGATGAAAAGCCAGCATCCGGTCGCTTCCCATCACCTTTTTCATTCCTGACATGTCGTGTAATCTTGCAGGGAAGCTGTACTGCGCGCTTCATTTCGATCAACGCAAAAACAAGACCAACGCGCGGAGGGCTTTCTCTCTAAACTCGGTGAGTGGCCCTCAGATTCATCCGTTCCCACTGATAACTGAGTGGGAACTGATAAAACGTCTGACTTTTCCCTTTGGCTCATCCTCTGATAGGATAATAACGGGGTTCAGCAGCGACGAGCTGCTGACCAGCAGAGCTCCCGGTCCGGCGGCGCGGCGGCGGCCCTGCAGAGTCCGGCCGCCGCAGGTACCTGCAGCTCTTTCTTCAGCCGGCAGCTCAGCTGGCCGCTGAGCGTGAGCCGCGCCGTGTGCAATGCTCCCTGGTATCTGTCTCGCCGCGTGCGCGGCGCGGCGGGGGCCCTGGCCCGCCACCTGAGAGACAACGGCCAGGACTATGCGCTGCTGTATGAGCTGCTGAGCATGAGTCTGCCCCTGCTGTTTGTCTTACGAGAGGTACTGGTGCAGATGCACGCCGAGGCTGTGCCCGATGAGCCCGGCCCGCTCCAGCCCGCCCTGCTCTGGCTGCAGGAGCAGATCGGGCACAGACTCATCTAGTTCCTCGCCAGGCCCCGGGCTGTCCGTAGCTAACCCTGAACATTTTCCTCCAGGAAGCCGTTCAAATTGTGGCTGGGGTGCACATTGGCCGGAGCACACCCACCTTAATACCGTTTGTAAATGTGTTCAAGCACCTTCATGATGTTTACTTATCTTTTTACGATGACACTGTAAGTGGATTTGCCAGTGTTTCCAACGTTGTCATGCGCCAGTTGAAGAAAAAGACACTGGCAGTCGCTTTGGAGACTTTGTGCAGTTAATCTAATGCAGTTTATTTGGAGCAGTTTGTCAGGTGATGAATGTGACGGGGGATCATTTTGCAGCAGATCTGATTAGCTGGAAATGTTCGGCAACTAACAAAAATGTGCTGAAGCTTAGAGTTTAAATCCAGTTTAAATGCAAATTGAAGAGACAGACCACAGTCAGTGCATTTAGTGGCATACAGACTGCTGAAGCTTTTAATTATCTATGCTGTAGAATGTACACATTTTAACATATGTTGGAAATTCATTCTCGAGGAAAGTTTTAGAGGGAACACGACTGAAGAATTTAATGCACTTTATCGGTCTTCTCGACACAAAAGTAAACTGCCACAAACATCCGTTCTCTCTTTTTCTTTTTTTTTTACTCCACACGTGTGCCCTTGTTTGCGTTTGACAACAAGCATATTTGCATGTGTTTGCTTGGTTTTGACCTCTGTGTGTATGCTTCTTTTTACTTCATTACATGTTGTGAATAGCACCAGAGTCTGATGCTGTGGAGTGTTTTTCTTTGTTTTGCTGCCATCTACTGTTAACTCTGGATAAACAAGCATGGAGAGGAGACCAGAAACCCTGACCCTCATTTTTACCTCTTGGGTTTACCATTGCAAACAGTCACATTTATAACTGTCAGATTTGCTGTAGAAACAGAGTGCACGCTTTGATGTATTTGAATGTGTTCGCCATGATTCCAAAGCTATGTTTTCACAGCAGACCTCTGACTGGAAGCCGCCTGCTTGCTTCCTATTCAAATACGCGATCTGATGACACTAATAAAACGCTGCAGATGAACTTTAAAAGCGGTTTGATAATAATGACTGCAAAAATACCATCAGGCCTGTTTTTACAGTACGATGACCCTTTTTGCTGACAAGTGTTTTAACACCTTTTAGATATTCAGCGCCAAAAGACAGAATGTGCAGCACGTCGCATGAACTAAACATGTTGTTTACTGCACCTTGCAAATGAAAATCCGCAGTGTTTTGAAATACCAAAGAACTGTAATGACGGCGTGTGCCGTATAAATCTGTGTGGCAACATGACAGAAGTGCAATGGTGCCAAATTAATTTTGAATGTCTTTGGAATTACTTTGCTCTCATAAACATTTTCTACTCTTGAGCTTCCACCTGTTGTTATTTATCTCTTTGTTGTTCAATTTTGAAGTTCCTTTTTTTTCTCTTTTGACCCAGCTGACACCTTTTATGAATCGTGTGAGACAGACGGATGGCTAGGAAAAATGGCATTTTAAAGGTGATCACCTGCATGGTCACGTGGTTTGGTGCCACCGATTAATCACTGACACAGAAGTGTCTGATCTGACTGAACAACATTTTCAGGGATGAAGTGATTTAAGGTTTGTCTTAACCAAGCACGTGACTAATGTGAATTTTCTCTGATCATTGTCTATGATCTCCTTAACGTTGCATGGTGCAAGACCTCCACATTCACAGAGCATGAGCAAAGCGGGGTTAAATGGTCCGGTCTAATTACTGGACTAAATACGGCCAAGAGGAACAAACCACAAGTTCAAATGAGACTTTATTCCATCTTTTTTATTTATGTATTTGCACTTGAATAAAAGCTGAGGTTTAATTTTGAAGTTAAAAAAAGTCAGCTGTCATCAGATGGATCAAATCTCTTTTTTTGCTCCAGAGTTGAAAAAAGATTTCCAGCATCCATGGCCTATTGTATAGCTTCTTTTTTTTTATTGTGTCGGCAGCTTTTCTGTGGGAGATATGCATCAGGATTTATGCTAAAGCTTTGGATCTTAAAAAATAATTTTAGATTAAAAAAAAAACAGCATTTTAGTGAAGTTCAGACTTGAAGTTTGCGGTATTAATTCAACACAAATATGCATAAGTGGTCCTCCAGATGCTCAGAGAAAAAATGTACTCCATTTCAAAGACTCCACAACTGCTATGGTACTTAAAGGACCTTGAGACTAAATCGACTGTTTCTGAGGTGAGGATTCAACAATTTACCCATATTATCTGTTTCTCTGAGAGCTAAAGAAGTACTTCAGTGCTGCTAACCTTAACAAGACCTCGCAGGTGTTGCAGAAAGTGAACATGTTCTGCTTTTCCTTCTGCAAAGGCAATAAAAACCTCATTCAATGTCAATTCAGGGAAAACAAAGGTGACAAATTGACCATGAGTTGAAAACTTAGAAGCGTCCTTCTTCTCCTTTGTAGGGAAAAGTTTGAGGTGACATGGCTCATACCTGACCGAATGAATGTGGTTTGCCACTTTGTCTGACTCCCATAGCTGTGGTGGAGAAAAAAGGAAGTGGGGGGGGCAGTGGTTCTGGAGACTGTCCAGACAAATCCACCTCATCTTAAAGACTCATTGACACGATACGTAATGCTACTTACTTGCCCGCCTTCAGATCTATCATTTCATGTGCTGATCTGTCATCAAGTGACTGTCTGTTTTGTAATCTTTACCTGCAGGCGACTCGCACAAAAGTTTTCTTTTCCGGCAGGAAACCTGGGAAATCTGGTTAGCTCAACAGTGGCTCCCCCCTTATTATAGAAGCGATGCGCTTGAGGGTATTATTTTTCATTCTTTTAATTTCCTTTCACCCTCTTGTTATTCTTAAGTATATGTTTCACCAGCACACGCAGGCAGTTGCAGCACTGTGCATCCCTCATGATTTAGTACACATCACAAACACAGGCCATTTTACACAATCTTTTCCTGCCTATAAAAGATTCAACGTCTAGATTTCCATTTGAAAACATTGCTATTTCTCAGTCTCGAGCCAACTTTTTTGTCCCTTCATCCAACTATTCCAAACAGTTCAAAATGAAATAAGCAAACCAGGGACATTTCCATCTTGTGGGGGGAAATTGGACATCACTGGCATGCTTTGATACATCTGGTTATGTTACCACAGTGACCAAACAAAAGCAGCTTTTCACGTTTCCACACAATATTTCTGGTGAAGATACTGCATCGATGTCAGTCACTTTGCTTTATCTCCTTTGCGAGACAAACTGATTGCATCTCTCAGCTCTAAAGTAAATCAAGGTTTGAGAGAAGAAAACAAACACATGAGCTTTGTGTTAGGAAGTGTTCAGGAATGCACAAAGAGTTCAGATGACTGAACCTCCAGTGGCACAAAATACCTCATGCCTTACGTGATTTCGCTTGTAAAGAGAGGTCTAGCCTGAGCACAGATGTCTTTAGGTGAGATATTTAATTTGGCTTTGCTTCACTCATAATGACTAATTCTAAACCTAACTCACTAATCCCACACAATGATGAGCCAGTAAGGTCCATCTTTGGGTTTTAACTCATCTAACATAAACTCTGGATGTGTTCAGGAGTGTGTCGGATCTTTTATGTTTCCTGGCAAATGTGATCATTTAACCCAGAAATATAATATACCAAAATAAATTGTTGTCAGTTAAACCTAAAAGCTGATTTTTATGTTTGTCTGTAGATTGGATTCTATATTCGAGATGAACTGGGATAAAGGCAGCCATGAGTGTGTCTCTCCCGGGGGGGGGGGGTCTTCTTTTCATTTTGAAGCTGCCTCACAAAAAGTGCTGTCTGTTCCTCACTGAGGGAACTGAAGTTGACGTTGTTAATGGTGCAATTTTTTTTAAATATGTCTGTGCTGTCTTTAATCAATAGCGTTATTGGCCCTTTAAGCAAAATCTGAATTGATTTTTCTGTTACATTTCTGCTTTTTACAAGTAAAGGTAAATGTTGGCCGTGCCTCCCTCTCCACTCTGACTCTCAAACCCTGACAGTTTGGTAGTTGTTTACATTTTCAAGCTGTTGAACCTGACGACATGATCTTGGTCCGGTCATTAAAATGAACTGGAGACTGCAAGGGACCGGCCGCGCTTTACATGCAAACTGTTTTGAAACCACAACATAGCTAATATTTAGCCAATTCCACAAATATCAGAAAGCAGCAGGGAGAAAATGTCTGTTCTTTCCATCCAGAGGCTTATGTCCACACATTCATCATGGATATTCTCCGGATGATTTCCTTTCAGCATGCAGATGCTGATCTCTGAATTACCATGTCACATCTTGTGTTATTGGAATAAAAAGCAGGTTTACAAAAAAGTCATAACAGTGTAGGTGCTCCCAGATGCTGAATTAAAAAAGTGTTCAGACTTCATTGAATCTTTGAATTCTTAAAGTTTACACAAGAACCACAAACAGTCACTCCCAAAAAAAAAAAGAAAAGGTTAGTTCCTGTTTGTATATCTTCAGTAAATTTTGTGAGTTTCTGCTTCCACAGATAAAGAAATTCCCAGGATTTGAAAAAGAAAAAGAAAATAACAAACAGGTGAATTAGGTGAATTAGTGTCAGACTTTATTACCATGAAATCAGAGCAATTATTCCACTGCAGCTTCGTACCGGTGCTGGGACAGAAGGGGGTGCTGTGACTCAGCAACAGTGCTGCCTTACTGAGGGCCTGCCCGTTTTCCTGGGACCTTCCTGTTCTATCCCATCATTTTTCAACAAACTGCACACATGATGTGTTCATCAATTAATTTTTTTTTTTTAATTTGGAGGATTTTTAAATTTATGTAAATTGAAAAGATTTTGAGACTCCAGGCAAACCAGGCAAAATGTAAAATAATGTTTTAAATCAATGATTAGGAACATGGAAGGTTTTTTTTGCATCTCATCCACTATTAGGTTTTCTTCCTATTCTAAAATCACCTAAATTGTACAGTACCAGAGCTTTGTTTCTTTCACTGAGACATTTAAATGGAGCACATAAAGCAACTAACTTGTTACACATATTTCTCTTGTAGAAAGTTCCATGTGGTACTGAACAAAGTTTAACACAAATTGAGGAGATTTTAAATTTTCTTTCTCCAAATGATCGTAATGCTCAAAATGGTCTCATACAAAAGCACCCAAAAATCAGCTATTTAAAAATGTTTGATTATTACAAATGTTTATTTTAGAAGCACAATGAAAGAAATGAAATATTTTTTCCTGCACTGAGGTCACGGAGAAATGTCTCTTATGTCCAGTTAATATTTCTGGAAAGTGTTTATAACATCTAACATGCCCTTTCATAGATTCAGTACATCTGATCTATTTAAATAGTTAGAATAGACTGGAATGGGCCAGAAATTATTTAGTGAAACACTAATGGACACACAAGAGTCTAAAGGCAACAACTAAACCAGATCCAGAAATAGCCAAATGGTTTATTTGATATAAAAACATTAAAAGAATTGACTTTTGAAAAAATAAGCAAAAGTGAACATTTCATTCAGTCCTCTCTGTCTGTTCACTGACTCCTTGTAACATGTTCATTTCTTTTTTTAATTAAATGACTTTTCTTTGAATGCATAAAAAGATGAACAGAAAACAAGTCATACAGTAGCAGTGATTAGCTTTCAGGCAACAGAGAAATCAGAGCCTGAAATTGCTCTGAAATTACGGAAGCTTTGAAAATTGATGAAAAAGCAGAAAAGCCAGGAAGAGATTAATCTAAAAATACAACGTCATTATTTTTGCACTTTCAAACGAATCATCCTTTAAAACAGTCAAACACAATTCTCCTTACAGGGGAGATGCGGCCGACTGACAGTGTAAATAAACTCTTTGAATATGTATTCCTGATGACACAGCAGGACAAACAGACGCTGTTTCAGTATATTCTGAAAATAATACCTCACACTACGACTGACTCGTGGGCCGGAGCTGCTTTTCAAACATGGGTGGAGTGAAAACATAGCAGAGCACCAGAGGAGAACTGATAAACAACCTCTCACCTTTATATTGACAAGTGTAAGAAAAAGACAAATGGCAGGCGTTTCATTCCCATCTGATGATCTGACGCGTCTGAGATCCCGCTCCACACACGTGTCAAACAATACTTGTCTTAAGCTCCTGCTTCAGAAACAATTTTATCTGCTAACAACCAGAGATCAATATTCAGACCACTTGTTGTAAACAGGCTTCTCACACTGCACGTTCGTCCCCGTTTGAGCTGCTTAAGCTCTTGTAGAAACTACATAGGGCCTCTTAAAACACACCAAAAGCACATATAATATGACAGAAAGCGCAAAACAGAGGATGCAAATGATCTGAAGAAGTGGTGTGATTTGGAAATTTTACCTCTGAACCTCATCTGTTTTCAAATGAATACACCTACTTTGATTTTTTTCTTTTTTTCCACTTTAAAGCAATACTGAAAGATTTTGTCTCCATGCATGTTTTTTTAGGGGAACATCGGTGCCAACACACCTGTTTTGTGTGATGGAATTAATTGTTTCCAAATTTTCTAAACTGTGTGAAATAAAATTTTGATGATGGGTACTTTGTGCTTCACCTGACTCATATTTTTCTTCCAATTTGCCTCATGGCAACATTGGAAATACTTCCCATCCCTTTTGTGTTTTAGTGGGAGGATGGCGCTCACCACCGTAATTGGTTAAGTCCGCTGTGATTATTTTATCAATAGACTGTTTAAGTGAAAAAATGATAATGAATATCCTTGAACAAATCTTTGGCCATCTCTTCTTGATTCAACTCGTGCTCGGATCGTCACTCTAACAGCTGTAATTGCATTTTTAAAAATCTAATCAGAAGGGACAAACATGTCAGCCTTCAACACAACCAGAATCCTTCGAATTTCTGTTTTTCTATCTGAGCCAAAAAAATTCCATCAGCCTGGTCTAATCTATCCCCCGCAGCCTGTTGGTTTATGTAAAATATGCCGCTAAGCTGAGGGTGATATTTGGGCTTTGCACCGGTGTGTTGGCGGCAGGTTCGACAAATTTCTGTCATAAATACTTACATGAGAAAGGATTTTGGGGGTGTTCAACGCTCATTATTTCATACAGACAGAAAAATGGAAAGTATGTGTTGAGCCTTACTCATCCCAGTGAGAAAAAAAGCCGTTGAGAAAAGTCATGACCGTAGTATATGAACTCAAAACAGAAATCAATCTAGACAGAAATGTCAGAGCGCGGATGATTACTTTAATTACATTCCATGTAAATACCATTTTCTAATTTTAAAAGTATATAGGATTCTTTATGTGGGCTGCAGTGAGCCATTCAACCGAATGAATCTCAAAAAATTGTGGAGATATTTTCACTTACAGCACCCAATTGCAACATCCTGTTTTTCTTAAGCTGACTTTTTCCATTGACTTTGTGCTCTAAAGCCGATAATATGACCGCTCATATTTGTAATATTTGGGAAACACATATTTTGTTTTCTACAAGAGAAACATGGGCTTATTTTGCCCTATCTTAGCTGTTGGATAAAGCTGGAGTTTTCCTTAAAGCAGTTAACAGTCAGAAGATTTCGGGGTGTTGGACATCTGCTAGAGAAGGTGATGATTACGTAGACATCAGCCATGATACAAACCTTAGAATTTCTCTTTTCTTTGTTTATGCCTGGCCTTGCTGTTCAAAAATGTCATTTTATCTTTCCTCTCCCAATCACACACTTAAAATCCTACATTGGAGTAAACGTACACATAAGCACAATAAGCAGATGAACCAAACAGGGCTGGTTTTTGGCACCTTAATTTACAAGAATGAAAGATGCTTTCCACAAGGACGGGTGAGCCAGTCAAATAAACGGGAGAATGCGCTTGTGAATTAAAACAATGGATGAGAGGCTGGAACATCCACCCATCCTCCATGGAACTATTATCATTCAAGAATATTAATTCAAGAGGGTGATGCTACTGCCGTGCGCTGAAAAGAAGAATATTTTTGGGGACACATTCAAAATCATTTGATAAGATCACGTGTGCACGCACACGAGACGTTTCGATCCATTTTTGTATATTTGCTCAGATGAAAAGCTCAGTATGAAAGCAGCTAATGGTGACATTTCAAAGAGCAAAATGGCAGTGACTACAGCACAAGTCTGTGAATAGCTGTTCCAGTATATTTTGGAAAGATTGGAAGTATAAGGAGAAAACTGTGATTAACTGTAATGGTTAAATCTCAGTGTAAGGTGAGTGTTGAATGAGGTGATTTCACTAACAGCCCCATCTGTTTTGCGTATTCCTGATTATTCTCTAGTTACTCCTTGTGGCTCAGTGGTTCATTTAAAGTAATCTCTCGCTCCGTTTCTTTGTTTGGCAAGTTCCCTTGCTGTCAGCCAAATTGCTTTCCTGTGAAGTCAAGGAAAAGAGCTCAGAAAGGCTGATAAAAGGACCTTTTTTGGGCTGCTTGACAGGTTTGGCCTTTCAAAGCAAGTGTGGGTCATGGCGCTCCACTTTACACCACACTGAAACAGAAAACCAAGTTTTCAGAATCTATATTTCAGTTTGAAAGTTTTGTGATTGCAGAGTACGATAACGCAGAATTTTATGGACGACTTAAGTAAGGCTGAGGGACTTTTTGTCTAATGCTACAAAGATAGAAACCATTGTTAAAAAATCTGGATTTTTTGGGCGCCAAGGTGGTACTGAGTGAGAAATGCCATCCACATGCCACGATTGATTTTATCACATGGACACAAAAGTGCCTTGGAAAGCCTTTTTTCGCTCAGCAAGGTCCGCCGCTGTATCTTGTTATGTAACCTGGAACTCTGGTTAGAAACACAGCAAAGATCTCTGGACCTGCACTCATCTGGCACAAGCAGAGAGGCTGTGGACATGGCATGTCTTCTGTGGACAGATGCATCCACGTTTCAGCTGCTTTTGGTCAGAACTGATGTTAGGGTACACACAACACAACCTATTATCAGCAACAGGTGGGAGAGTCAGCATGAGGGTGGCAAGAGGGTACATCAGCGCGTATCAGTGCGATGGCTGATTTGTATATATGTGACGTCCTTTTTTTTTATTTAGCAAAAGGTGGTTGTCTCAGCAGGATGATGTCGGAACTCTTTCTGCGGTGTGGCCTATAAATACAAACTGTGTGTCCAGCTGATTGCTCTTCCTGAGGTTCAAATTTCTCTCCTTTTCGAACACGAATGTGTCATGGTGAAGAGGAGAATCAGAAAACAAGGGAAGACCTGTTAGCAGCAGATATGTTGTGCTCAGCAGTCCAGAAGCCTGACATGAGGAAGTGTCTCTGGATTGGCTGCCAAAGGTCTGGAACTGGACTGCCTGAGTCGGACACCATCCCCTGTCCAGCAGCTTCACAGTGCTGCAGCGGTTCAAATCTGGTGAAGTGCTACAAAGCAGTTCAAAGGCCTTTGTAGACATCACAGCTCCATATCAGGTCACGATAAAAACACAAAAATAGTCAAAGAGTGTTTGAGCCTCTTTTTTCCCTCTTCTGTGGTCAGTCTGACATGTTGTGACCAGCTCAGATCCTCACTGTGTTGTTAATGAAAATTCATAAACTTGCAAAGTGGGCATTTCTGATCAAGTATTCTTTTCCATGAAAACTTTAATGTCTAAAAGTTTACCACATGAACAGATTTACATGTTTCTACCAGGTTATTATTACAGTATGGGTTTGAGGTCTGTTATTAAGGCCATTTTATTTTTATGTTCAGGCTTATACAAACAGTATTTTGATGTCCTCCAGATTCTTGTTCGGTGAGATGAGTTCTTTCCTTTATCAGTGAAATGCTGCCAAGAGCAGCATGAGAAATGCAGCGTAAGAGATCCACCCCCATGCTTGACAGCAGGAGAAAAGTTTTTGGATCGATACTCTGTGCTTTCTCCTCCAAAAGTGCCTGAAGAGCCAAAAATATCAGAGTTTAAAGCTTTCTCCTGTTTTGTCAGTAAAATAAATAAGTTTTACAGAGTTCTTAGAGAAGCTGCTGATTAAAGCTGGCGGATCATCCGTCTCATGTGTACATCTGAATCTGCTTTAATCAGATTTAATTTGTCTATGTGACGCAGGAACCCCTTATGTTAAGCAGATGGTAAATAGGGATGAACGCTGACTCGTGTTCAATTTACCAGAGGGCATTACAATGAAAATAACAGCGGAAGCTGAAATTGACTTTGGGGGAGTCAGGAACTCTTCAACCCAAAATGCTTATTAATCAGGATATGGACTGGTGAGTTGTATTGTACATTTATGAATTTGAAGAACAAATCAAGAAACTGCCTGCCTCTACCACTCTGTGGTTTCAAGACATCTGCTTGAGTAACATCACCGTAGGATATGCATACTTTCCGTAAATATTTCCATGTAAGGCTACTTTTTAATCTCTGACTCCAGTATTTTCAAATAAAATTAAGGGCTTTATTTAGTTGTTGTTGGGTGTTTTGTCATGCTACACCCAATCACGTCTGATTACCTACTCTTTATACTGTCATTTTGTATGTGGTGCACAGGCCCTCCTGCCTGCTTCTTTTCAGTCTCATCTTTGGCATCTCATCTCTTTAAAGCTTTAGTCTGTGTTGTCAGTCTCCGTCCCCAGCAGATATTTGTACATCTTGTCCCGTCCCAAACTTCATGAAAAGAACCTCATCACAATTACCTGCTACCCCATGGGGCTGCTCATCCACCAATAGGCTCTTGAGCTTGTTCAAATTACCCTTGCACATATATATATATATATATATACACTATATTGCCAAAAGTATTTGCTCACCCATCCAAATTATCGGAATCAGGTGTTCCAATCACTTCCATGGCCACAGGTGTATAAATTCAAGCACCTAGGCATGCAGACTGTTTTTACAAACATTTGTGAAAGAATGGGTCGCTCTCAGGAGCTCAGTGAATTCCAGCGTGGAACTGTGATAGGATGCCACCTGTGCAACAAATCCAGTCGTGAAATTTCCTCGCTCCTAAATATTCCACAGTCAACTGTCAGCTGTATTATAAGAAAATGGAAGTGTTTGGGAATGACAGCAACTCAGCCACGAAGTGGTAGGCCACGTAAACTGACGGAGCGGGGTCAGCGGATGCTGACGCGCATAGTGCGAAGAGGTCGCCAACTTTCTGCAGACTCAATCACTACAGACCTCCAAACTTCATGTGGCCTTCAGATTAGCTCAAGAACAGTGCGCAGAGAGCTTCATGGAATGGGTTTCCATGGTCGAGCAGCTGCATCCAAGCCATACATCACCAAGTGCAATGCAAAGCGTCGGATGCGGTGGTGTAAAGCACGCCGCCACTGGACTCTAGAGCAGTGGAGACGCGTTCTCTGGAGTGACGAATCGCGCTTCTCCATCTGGCAATCTGATGGACGGGTCTGGGTTTGGCGGTTGCCAGGAGAACGGTACTTGTCTGACTGCATTGTGCCAAGTGTAAAGTTTGGTGGAGGGGGGATTATGGTGTGGGGTTGTTTTTCAGGAGCTGGGCTTGGCCCCTTAGTTCCAGTGAAAGGAACTCTGAATGCTTCAGCATACCAAGACATTTTGGACAATTCCATGC